ATTCATGCTTTCACTCAGCTAAAATTACTAAACTACTCGTAATTACAAGTCATTCTGACGATCCTTCATCGTGAATTCACCTTGATCTCTGTCTTGCTAGAAAAATAGGTTTTTAATTGTTTTAAATGACAACACATGTTGAATAGCGCGACTGGGTCAAGGTCGTTGGGTGCCATTTTTGCGGACCATGAGTAAGCGCATTCTTGCAATAACCGATGGGTCGAGTTCGCGGTCACGTAGACGCAGTCGATCACCAGAAAAGTCTCCAGGTAGGATTTTACATTTCATACTGGTTTGACGAATTTTAGACTCTACTCCTCGAAAACGTAAGAGCAGATGGTCTGCAGTTGAGACAGACCGAATTTTTATACCTGGTATGCCTACTCAGCTGCCTCCAAACCTTACACCACAACAGGAGAAAGTGTATATCAGTATGTGTTTCTTCCTGTCTTATCTGTCACACATAGTTCAACTTCAAATCGAAGATATGTCTAGACGTTTGAAAAGTGGAGATCTGGGCATTCCTAAAAATCCAGAAGACAGGTTAGCAATTTTTAATCTGTATATTTAACAGTTGTATAGATCTCACTTATTTGTTGAACTGGTTATTGTGCTGTAAAGTTGTTTGAAACGTTTTCTGTTTAGAATAGTATGGACTAGTTGGTATAGATTTCACGTTATACTAACACTCTTGTTTAGGATTAATGTATTATGTAGCTGGTATTATTTACTGTGGATCAGAAAGTAGATAACGGGTAAGGGTTCACATAGTTAATGTTATAGTACTTGACCACAACAGGAAACCTTGTGCTAACAAGTACTCTTTTTTTCAGATCCCCTTCTCCGGAACCCATATATAGCAGTGATGGTAAGCGTTTAAACACAAGAGAATACAGAACCCGAAAAAAGCTGGAAGATGATCGTCACGCTCTTGTACAACAACTTATGGAGATTAATCCTGAATATAAGCCACCATCTGATTACAAGTACCAGTTGTTTGGTAATCATAACTTTGTAGGGCTCCTCAAAATAGAATAACGGACAAAGTCTTTATTCCCCAGGATAACCATCCAGACATCAATTTCGTCGGATTGTTGATTGGACCGCGTGGGAATACTCTCAAGGCTCTGGAAAAGGATGTAAGTCTCTTACCCACTGAAGGCTTTTCTTTGTGTCTTTTTTGTTGTCAGCTTTGAGTTATCTTGTTGCTTTTCATTTCACAAGTCGGTTTTGTATTTAGCTATCAATTACTCAGCACCGCTAGTTTTATATCACTTTTTCGCAAGGTACAATTTAGCTGGTCTATCGTTTTGTCCAGTTATCGGATTGTGTGCTGTTTTCTCAATGGAAGTCCGTTATGTGATCTGGCAACAATTAGTTCCTACATGACGAACAAAAACTGTCCTGTCAGCAAAGTGAATTCGCTCCATTCCTAGTTTCATTCACAATGAATTCCGTTGAACTGTTACTAATGCAAATTTAGAGTGTCCCTGTAGACCCAAGCGTGTTCACGGTTATATACGTATCACTAAGCTTTCTGTTAATAGTGCCTACACCAAGTGATTCAGGAACACTTCTATGCGATTAATTCGTTGAACTTACTCGAACGGAATAGTTTCGGCAGTTGGGAAGTGGAAAAATTGCAGTTTCCTCATCACACATGGGAACTAAAAACTGCCAGATGTACTTATATTTCTAAATATTTAGTTAGTATTGCATATGGTGAAAAACTAGTGTGCACAACTTCCTGCTCCAACTTTTCACGATTGTTTTTGTCAAGTTAAGAAATGACTGGTTGGACCGTAATTAATCAACTGCAATACAGAACTTGTTACGTACTTTGTCACACGAAGTTAACACAGCAACAATTTTCAGTTCAAATTCCATACTGGTAGAGGTTGCAGTAGTATTGGTGGTAACAAACAAGCTTAAATATCAAAGAAACTATTCGTGAAGTGCAGACCAGTGATACTGATTTTGAAGGAAATATAGGTCATGAGGAATTCCAAAGATTAGGATCCAGAAGAAATGCACCTATTCCCGACCGTAGCTGCTACCTTGACGTGGTGGTCAGGCTTGCCTATCGTGATGATCCAACCCAACTATATAGACTGGAACTTATGTTCCTGAAGGTTCTACCATGCCAGGCAGGTCGATTGCAGAACAATGAGACTAAAAGCAGCTACTCAAGGTCTGAGGGCGAAGTCGTACTGCTGATTGCAGAGGGGTGTGACAGGAGTAAGGTGTTTCCCTCGGACAACCAGCATCTGCAGTGATGCTGACTTCTCACAAGGAAGGAAGGGTTAGAAAAGGTCGACCCTAAAAATGTCACACCTCGCCTTACCTCACGGATTTCCGTCTCCGGCGGTAAAGGTGCCCACAAAGGGCTTTCAAGAGCGAGCTATTACTCAAAAAACCTCTGGTAAAAAGGATGTGCGTTACCGACCTGAAGCAGTTGTCCCTTGGAGTCTGCGGTAACGCACCCAGGTCTCTAAGACCAACACTAATCTATCTTCGTTTTCAGGTCCCTCAAGAAACACGCTTCCACAGTGTGGGCAGACGGGAAGTGACAACCGCCCTCATACCCGTAACAGCACACGAGACAAAATTGGTCAAAATCAAATCCTTCCTACACCCCCTAGTACCTCTCTTATCTCCATGACTAACTCTTCTCACATTCATTTATCACAGTGCACAGCTAATGCAGACGATACGAGTTCGCGAAACGTCGTTCCTGGTCTCCTTAAACCCCGTTCTAAACTACATTTTGGTGCATTTAATGTACGGACATTGTGTCAAATAGGGCAACAGGCATCATTAGCTAGGACTTTAGAATCTCGCTCAATCGATGTATGCTGCGTCTCCCGAACGCGTATATAGGATCCGAAAAGCATCGTTTACTTGACCTCACCATGTCAAGATAAAGAGGTAGCTCGATTTACACTTCGTGTATCCGGTAGCCCTGATACTGCTTCCAGGGGTCTTGCTGTTGTAGGTATAGTATTGAGTCGTAGGGCAGAACAATCTCTCCTTGACTGGATCCCAATAGATAGTCGCTTGTGCGCCATCCGACTAAACGGGACAGTAAGGATTCGAAAGGATAGGGACACTCGTCGGACATCCAAAATGTTAGGCACTCCGATCTAACAATAATGACTGGTAACTTTAACACTCAAGTAGGTAGACTTAGTGAGCATGAGACACCTTGGTGGATGTTATGGTGTTGCGGCTCAAAGACCATGGCGACTGTCTGTTGCAACTATGCTCAGATAACCACCTATTCCTAGCAAACACTAACTTTAGGCATAAGGAAAAGCATCTCTTGACATGGCGACCCCCAAAGTCGTCACAACGCTGGACCCAACTAGATCACATCGCTATAATCCACTGGTGGAGAGGCTCTGTTGAAGACTGCCGCTCATTCTGGCGCACTCGTTTAGATTCAGATCATGCCTTAGTGCGAGCGCGTATTTGTTTGAGGCTTACTGGATGTTGGAAAGACAGACAGGCAAACCGATACAACGCAGAACTTCGTACATAAGTACATCAGTCCAGATTACCATACCACGTCAGCACAGAGACGTAACTGTCAGTTCAAATCCAACAGTGATAGTGATAGTAGAATTATTAGCAGCAACGGAGAAGATTGGGGAGCAAAGATAGATTCGAAAAGTATAATTCAGTGAGATAAATATAGAAGGAGAAAGATAGAGATTTTGAGAAATTCAGAATGTTAGAATTAAAAATGGCACAAAGAGTGAATGCACCTGCGCCACTGCAAACGATTCTGAGCCATATCGTTCAAGGTCCCTAACCATCGGTGGCTTTCGTCTCGCGGACCTCAACCAGATAGCCTACATCTACCAACATGACTCAGTCCACTTGTCAGTGACTTCATGGATTTGTGCCATGTTTTGGTTTGGCCGCCCCTAGCTTTCTTCCAACCGATTCCTACATCGCAAAACATAGCTCGACGAGGCAGTCGGTGTTTAGGCATACGTAACGCATGTCCTAACCACCTCAACTGATGAAGTTTCACTACTTCATCTATTGACCTGCCATCCTTACCTAGTACCCTAATCTTCCGAATTCTTTAACACCTCTAGTTTTGACTTTCTAAACTTTTCTCACTGAATCGTACTTCTTGAATAATATCTTCTAATCCTAACCTCTCCGATTACTTCTAATACCCTTACTACCTCTTCTACTATTGGATTTGAATTGACAATTACATCTCTGTGCTGATGTGGTATGGCGACATAAACTGATGTACTTACGTACGAAGTTCCACGTTGCATCTGACTGACTGACTTACCTAGTACCTGTTTCCTAACACCAGCATTGCTTACTCGGTTGTCCCATGATACACGATCAATGCTTCCAGGACATCTATAATGGAATACTAATAACCTACGACTATCCTCAACTCTTTCTGCTCATGTTTCGCATCCATAAAGTAGTATGGAGCTGAGATTTCGTCAGACACCAGACCATCAGCACCGATGAGACTCCCGAGATAAGTGAAGCGGTCAACATGCTCAACTGCTTCACTCCCTATCACTAGTTCAGGTGCCGATACAAGCCAACCCTGAAGCAACATTTTGCATTTCGAGGTGGAAAACCGCATCCCGAACGTGCTTGCATTGTTGCTTATGGTAGTCAGAAGACTGCATTTTGTCAGCGTCTTCACCAAGTAGGTCTATGTCATCGGCATATTCTAAGTCAATAAGCGAGCCACCTGGAAGAAGGTCTACTCCTGAAAATTCAGACGAATATAATGTTATATCTAGGAGCATGTCTATGACAAAATCGAACAAGAATGGAGAGAGTGGACAGCACTGACGGACGCCACTTGAAGTAGAGAATGCCAATGACAGTTCGCCATAAGCTCTAACTCGACCTATAGTGTTCGAGTAGAGAGTTTGTATGAGGTTAATGTACTTCTTTGGTACACCTTTCAATGACAGACACTGCCACAGAACCTCACGATTCACAGAGTCTAATGCTGTTTTTAGGTCAAGGAAGAACTATTGTAGAACGCCTAAATGTGTGTCTGTGTTCCAGGAACTTTCGCTAACCCAGTGACTTATGTAAGCACTTGTAACGATTAATAAATTATGAAGATCCAGTTTAGCCAGTGTTAATTTTCCAAAAGTTGTGTAGCTCGCTTCTATCATCACTCTGATTGGTATCAATTTTTCGCTTATTTGCTGAACTCTGATAAAAAATCAATTGTCTACAGATGTTCTTTTGTTTACCTTGTTTTTCTTAAAGTCATCCATTTTATTTTCATGTATGTTATCAAATCTACCGGTTGATCGAGTATGGTTGTACGGTTTTTGTTTAGACGTTTAGTATGCTATTGAGACCTAAAGATATGTAATGTTTCCGCTTGATGCTCTTCGGATTTACTTTAGTATTGGGTTTAGTTGACTTCTGCCGTCATTGCTATGTTTATTACTTTTCCTCTTTTATTTCGCTTTTATATATCTCATCCTAAAAGCTTCTAACTAGTTGTACTCCTAAGTTAAGGTTAATATTTTGTCGTTTCTGTTGACTCCAGACAGGTGCTAAAGTGATAATTCGTGGAAAGGGATCCGTTAAAGAAGGTAAGGTTGGAAGGAGAGACGGACTTCCTTTGCCTGGTGAAGACGAGCCTCTACACGCTTTCATTTCAGCACCTTCAGCTGAATGTGTAGACAAAGCAGTCAAAAAAATAAATGAGATAATAAGACAAGGAATTGAGATACCAGAAAGTCAAAATGACCTTCGGAGAGCCCAATTACGTGAGCTCGCTTTACTTAATGGAACATTGCGTGAGCACGAAGGGCTAATGAAACTGCGTGCAATGGCTGAAGCCCAGTCAATTGCTACTAACAAAATCCAGTGTGGTATATGTGGAGGTAAGTCCTTCTGGATTGCAATGAATATTCTTAACTCTATGATCTTGAGTTTCATCGGATAAACTATCATGTATGTACATTTATTTTGATTACTTAATGTATTGTTTCAGATCATCGGCCAACCTACTATCCGTCCGGTTTATTATCTCAGTCGTCTTTTAACAAGTTACTACAAGGGAAATGTAGCTGTCTATCTGTTGCTGTAGTTTAGGGTATCGTGTTACACTGCACTATCATTTATCCATCTACAATACTGCTTTAATAAAACGCCTGACTGCGTTGCCAAGGTAATAATGATGTTTATGCACTAAAGTGAACCTCTAAAAATGTTGTGTCAAATTTAACCAAAGGCCAGTGGATTACAAGTTAAAGCTTACTATAGGAGCTCTTTTATTTTCATATCATTCATTCCCATGTTCTTTAATCGTAATATTTCTATCCGACTTCATGAGATCGTAAATCGGAAAAGTAAAACCCTATCTGATAATTGTGAGTTTTGATCTCTTTAGAGCATATAGTTTATCTAAGAAATACGTTCACGATTCTCCTGAATTTCTAAAAATTTCATAATAACTCAACAATATTCATCACTGCGATATTTTTCTTGCAGATCTAGAGTTTTGTTCATCAGCATCAGATTGTCTGCCAACGATTACTAATTTATATACTTATTCTTTATAGGATTTCTAGTGTTTCAGTAATTAATTGACGTTTATTTTTATTCTAGGCGCTGGCCATCTGTCAACTGACTGTAAAGCATTGTTGGGTGGTCAAGCTTATCTTGATCAGCTTAATGCCAACCCCAGTGAAAGAGCCAAAATGGATAGCGAATACACTGCATTGATGGCGGAACTCGGTGTAGGCGGTTCACAAGGTTTGCATCGCGGAAATATTTAATGTTAAATTAATATTTATAAAGATAATTGCTTATAAGTTTGTGAAACTAGGCAAGTACGGATTTGGCGAAACACTTGAATCTGAAATGCAACTAATTGAATAGGGATAATACCTATCTAGATAGAAAACCCTCAGCAAACGAGCATGTTTTAATCAGACTTGATTTACTGTTATGATACATCTTGGCAAACTACATCACTCTTCGTCGAGATAGGAAAATGTCACTCACTAGTAACTGGTGATTTAAAAGAAACTTCAAATCTGATTCCTAAACAGTGGCCAGGTGAATAATTGTGTTACATTTCAGTGGCGATACATATATTTATGGGTTTTTTTAGATTATCGCAACCAAACTAATTGGGTAAAACTAGTTGTAATGATTGTTAAATACTGGAAGCTAGTGAGAAACGAACAGACTTTGTTGAACAACCCTAATTTTATCCATGAAGGATGGTTTTTAGGCAATCACATTCATTCAGTTGATATTCATTCTTATCTCTTAGCACTAGCTTTGATTATTATTAAGAAAAATATCCGAACATATACCACTCAGTTATTTTTTTAGATAAATCTCACCAACAGTCCTAAATCTCATGTAGTTGTTAGTGGTTTGCTTGCCTTTGGTTTTTTCTATGTGTATTTGTATTAGCCAAAAATTAATTAATAAGGAACTATATAACTACGGTTATTTTATTTGAGCGGTGTCTTGGTGTATCACAGAATTTTTTCACTTTATTTATCTTCTCCAGGTCTTAGAGGTTTTAATGCTTTACAACCACAACCTGCTCGTCCAACTCGTCAACCTCCACCTCCTGGTGTTGCAACTTTTGATGATGATGACGATGGAGATACAGGAACAAATGGTACTACTGCTACCACAACTACAACTGTTTCAACCTCAGTTTCTTCTCCCAACCAGTACGCATTCGCCTTACCACCCCCACCCCCTCCTCCCTCTCAGTATGCACCTATGATAACACCTGTTAGTCCGTGGACTACTCCTGCAGTCGTACCATCTATGCCTGGATACCCATCAACAGCTACCTACCCTCCTTCCGGAATCCCTGCAGTTTCAGGAGCTTATTCCGAAGTGTCAGCCGCAACAAATGGTAGTTCCACACTGAATCACTGGCATCCCTCCGTCCCTGCATCAGTTTCTTGGGGTGATGGATCATCACAAATACCAGCGGCTGTACCTGTTCCCGGTAAGTAGTCTTATATAATTTGAATTCACTCTCAATAGTGTATGTACTCACCTATTTTACAACTTCACTGGTTTGTAAGCTATTTGATTCTTCATAATTCATAACCGTCATCGACGTAAATCGACCCAATCTCAATCTTTCGAGCCACCGGCCTACGTAAGAACAAACTGAGGACCATTTCTCTCAGATCTTACGTACTGCATAAAATAAGTGCTATCAATGCCACTTAGTTGCCTAGGCTTACTTCGTGAATTGGTGTTATTAGATTGATTTGTTTCTTTTAATGTTGACTAATTCGCTACCAGTGTGGATAGATTTCACAAAATAAAATAAGATGTATAAAAACTCTTATGTCTTAACTTGGAGCTTTCAAAGTTCAGTTATCGTGGTAATCTTGCCGTTTTTTTGTATATAAGCATCTTACTTAGTGGCTTTTTAGTCACTCCGTTTAGTAAGTATAATGTCTACTGTTGAGATTTCCTTACATTTATTTTTCTAGGTGCTGCAATGGTTCCTCCTTATTATTTGCCATCACCTACCGATTACTGGGCTGGCTATGGAGGAGGTTACGCAGCCCCTGTTCCCAATCCTCCTCCGCCCCCACCACCTGGGGTCTAGATTAATCAGTTGTCATCGTTCAATTTCAGCCATAAAGCTGAGGCTATTCCTTGTACAAATTTCAAATCATGAATGATTTTACAGCATTGCTGGTCCATGGTGTTTTAGGAATCAAGCTTGTTTACCATTGTGTGAGCAATTTCTGTGCAAACATGTTGATTCTGTGAAAAGTGTTTATTTCCTTATTTGTTTATTTGATTAATTAGATTTCGTGTTTCTGGCAACAATAAAATGCGAATCGTAATGAAATATCTTGTGATGAATCGTAATTGTTTCACGTCCTTTATTCGAACAAACCACATGAAATAAATACACTCTATTCTCTGCGTTCGTCTAGGCACTTTATCAGTATTATATGTAAGGTTGATTTAATGCGTAAACTGTCTGGCATAGTGCTTCACCATTCGTAAATAACTATTAACAAGGATTATTCACTTTATTCATGTACTAGTAGGACGATTTTATTTCCTACCTTCCTTCAAAATCTGTCCACTGCTCTCCTTAATCCGCCTAGTAACTTGCAAAATAGGTTGAAGAACTGACAAGCAAATAACCACTTCATTTTAAACGACGTTGTGCATAGTTTGCTACATATATATTTAATCTCATAACATCAAAGTCATAATTCTTAATGTTAAGCACCATGTAGAAATAATAAAATAAGAGGTATATGAACTGTACTCATATTAGTTCTGTTGCTTTCTTAAGTATGAAAAAATACTGATATTTTGGAGAAATCATCTCGGGTTTGTGATGAATTAACCTGAAACTAATTAAAAAAGATCAAATGGGGATTAGAGTTCCTCCTTATAGACGTAAGATGAATTAAGTGCTACTTTTTAGTTTCTAAAAAACACAAAGCTCCTTACGATCCTAAATTCCCAGCAACTGTTTAGTGAACTTATGTTTAAATTCATGGTTTTGCACCATTTAGTCGTGTGTTTGTTTGTTTATTCGGGCTGCCAGTGTCTAACTTCCACGTCCATTCAAGTTGTACGTTATTTCTTTAGCGTATTTGTTATAGATCTGCAAATAAAAACGTTCTTTGAGTCTATCGTTTCTAGATTTACCGGTCTAAAAAGTATCAAATCGACGTTATCTGCAAAAATCTCCCTGACTTTGAAATTCTCGGAAGTATTTAACCAAAACTGCACACGTCAGGGATTGGTCCTATGTCCGTTCTCAGAGGTCGGAGTTTCTTAGGAAATCAAAACGTTGATACTCGATTAATAACTTTCGACACCAATAAATCCTGTCATCAATATTAGTCATCCATACACATCGTAAGAAGTCGTTTGACAGCTAGTTTACTTAGTTATAAACATGGGGTGGTTGGTGTTGCGATCATTTGCCACAGGTTATTTTGTTAGTCCATCATACTTGAACTGGCTTCTTAGTCCTGGAGTCAGGATGTTCATTTTGTAGATCATTTGTATTTTAAAGCGCAAAGATATCTGATTGATTAGAACTTATTCACCAAGTACGGGTCTGTGTACACATTTTAAGTATTAGGGACCGACACTGCCTGTACTTTATTAAAGTTTTTGTACAAAACCACGAAATTACTGTTTGTTACTCGATTGTACCATTTTTAAGACAGTTAACTTACGTTGGCTTTCAAAGAGCATTAGGTTGTTTTCCGACTTTTTGATTATTGAAGATACCAAAAGTTGTGCTGGAAAAAAGGGACATTATAAAATATTGTCATTGCTTCTAATTACAGTCAAAGCTTTACTGAATAGAAATCGATACACAGTCGTAATTAACGGTGTTATCAACTAGTGTTATATACAGAGCGTTTACGCTATCGGAAAAAGTTTCTTCAACACTGTAAACTAGTTAGATACAAGAAGTTTAGCGATGACAACTACCGCTCACTATTAATGCATGTGACTTATTTGTAATCGGTAAATTCTAAAAATGAATTTCCAGAAGGTATAGCCATGATATTTTGTTACCGACCCTTAAAGGTTAAAATGGTGTCATCACCAGGCTAATGTAGATTGTAAATTTTACGGAATTTTGTGTAGTTTACCCGAACAGTATCTTAGCCCACCCTAAGTCCGGTGGTTTGTGTGGCTCATGCATTTATTAGTGCCTCTTTGTACCGACGCTTACGTGTTTAAGTAAATAATTATTGGACTGGATTTCTTACAATTCAGGTCATCACAATCAGATAAGAATTGAACAAAAGGAAGTAAGTTAAACCTAAATAATGGAGTTTGGCAATACAAGTAAGATAACTATGTGATTATACCTAGCTCATTACTTAAAAAAGGACGGGATTCATACAACTGAGTCATCGATAGCAATTTTCTAACCTTAGGTTCAGAAAAACTAAGGCCATTTGTTGGTTTCATGGGTCGATATACTTTGTATCGTTTGTATTGCTCTCATCTCACAAAAATAGTCATGTATTCAGATAGATTGAGCGCTAAGCGCTCACTTACGACACCAAGGATTTTTGTCCGATAACGGGCTTATCAGTATTTTCAACAGCTGAGATAAATTTTATGGAGAAATTTATGTTATTTAAAACTGGTTGTCACAAACTGAAGGACCATCTAAAACAAGGATTCATTCAATAGCAGTTTGGTGCCCAAGTTTGTCATGGGTCATAAACCTACTCAATAGTAGAGGCAAGTAGCTGAAGATAATCAACAGGAAATCCCGAACGTAGGTTTTGTGTTGGTTGGAACCCATCATAGAGACAGTCTTGTGGAAGCTACTGGATCCAAATCTAGGTCGATTTCACAATCTGAGACATTATCGCTGGGATTTTCGTGTGTTGACTAATTACATGTAGGACTGTAACATACTGACTGGTCACTGATAGTGATCAAGTTCAGTTTCTCCCATAGTTCAGGTAAGGTGTCAATTAACACAAAATCTGTGTATAGAGATTCGTACCTCAAACTACCCTAACATTGAAGCAGACCTCATCCAACGTCATTTACTTGATATTAAAATGTGAATCACTGGGTTCCGGCTCTGTGGTTGTAGCTCTGCAATACCTAAAGGTCCCTAGCTAGATCACTGTTGGCTCTTTAGTGTGGATTTTTGAGAATCTCAAATTGAGATAAAACAGCTGGCTAGTCCTGTGTTGTCAATGCTTCCTCAGCTGCTGCCAGTTTTTAGTGAAAACTCCCAAATTATCTAAACCAACGAAGATAATAAAGTACAGGAATGACGCAGTTCGAATTCAACAATAATTAATGTCCATCCCTAATATGTTGTTTTCAGTTACTAAGATTTATATTTAAAATAGTTACAAATTAATCACATTCAATTTATCGGAATTTGTGTTAACTTACCATCACGTAAAATATTCACTTCATCTTCTGTATTGTAATATACTTCTGATGTGTTTTTGTCAGTTTTGTTGCCTTGAGGTTTTTTGAAAACAGTAAGTATATTAATGTATTGATTCTTAATAAATCAACCCAAATAAAATCATTTTTCATATATTTCCATGGCTAATTTACAAAACAACTGATTAATCTCTTTTGCTATATGGTATTGTTTTTTATGAATGTTTCATTATTGCAACTTTTAATGGAAATTTAATCAACTGACTTTTTTATTTGATGGTCAACTTCCCAGAACGATATTACTAAAATGTCCATTGAAAACTCGGAAGCACTCAATAAATGTTCGTACTAGTATCTATGACCTTGTCACCCGTGAACGAGCCAAAGACCTATCTCAACTTAGTGTAACTGTATCTCATTACTATGTTGTTTTGAATAAGATTACAACTTCTTATTGAATGGTAGATAGTTTTCATTTGTGGTTACTAATGTTGAAGTATTTTGATAAAAATGTATCTTGTTTGATCTCCCATACATCATGTTCAACTGTTCAACTCATTAGTTACGTTTAAGATGAATGGACTGTTCTACATCCCTTTACTAGTGTTTATATCTATAATCATTTTGGATTTCTACACACGTTGTTCATTAATTTATACACAGAAGCTTCAAGTATTAATTGAAAGAGTACCTAAGTTTCGTAGTTTTGACCAACGCGAATTATAACCAAGGTGTCTATGTGGAATGTATTAAGCTCACAATAAGAATATTTGCTGTAAATTAAAAAAATTCTTCATTTCCATAGACCAGGAATAACAAAGTTTTTTGAATGCAATGAATGCATTATATTTCACTACACTTCATCAGCTCCAAACAAGTTAAAACTACGAAGAATATAATTACAAAGATTTAACATTAGTTAGTGAAGTTTAAATAGATCCTAGAAAGGGAAACAAACTGTAATGGAAGGAATGGGACATTATTGAAATGAACTGATCGATTTGCATCATCTAAATACATGGTTGTTCAGTTTAAAAGTATATAGTGAAGTCAATTTAACTTTTTAGTATTTTTTATGCACGTCTATTCTATTGTATGACTAACGCAGTATCATCTGGTGTATGATAATATTTTTTGATGTGATGATATTTTACGCCAAACTGTCATAATTTGAATTACGTAAATTAAAGTTGGTTTACATAAGTTGTTATTCACCACTTGTACAGATTCGACGTTACACTCTGATAATGCAAATCAGTATAATCGATTCTGATACTTTAGAAGGAAATAGAATATTCTCAAGATGGTTTATTTTGTGATAAAATAACACCTTGAAAGCTAAAGTTGAAACCTACTTGTAAACATTCTCCACTCAGCGCACAGGTTCCAAATCAAAACTATAATGTAGTCAAATATGTGCTCTGGATAGGTATTTTTAAACCCATCACATGACAGTTTAATTCCTTATAAACTTCAGTGATCTGACATGGAATGTCAGTCTCTGGTGAAAATGGTCTCTAAACAGTTTGAAATAATGACTAGTTATACACTGCAAAACAGTTTTTAATTCATATAAACTAATTATCTAGTTTTACCCAATTTTCACTGATATAACCTCCCTCCGTTTATTTTGTTCATTTCAAATTAGCCTCTTAAACGGAATTTGGTTTTTATAACTTGCCTTTAGGTTGCTCGACCACTGGATTTATTTCATCGGATTTGAATGCTACATTGGGATTGTTCTCATTTGTTTCAATTGGATATATTTCTATGGTTAGAAAAAGAAAGTTAATTTTGAATTAACTAGTCATATAGTTCTAGTTACAAAATATGTAGAGATTAGGAATTCTATATTCGGTTACGTTTTCTACACATTAAAACTTTGTAAGTATTACGTTTTTTAGAGATTTGGAAACGTTTGCACCGAACGAGGTAACAGGTTCTTATGTAAAATAAATAGAATGTATCTAGCAGTGGAATCCAAGAAGCGAGTTTGGTCTTATTTGGGACTCGTCAGCTGGATGTACCTGTATCTCAGATTTGATGTTCACTCCGGAGCTCGAATCCAGTACCGTTTGCTTTAAACGTCATCACGTTATCCAGTTAGCAACCGAGTCGAAATAGTCACTCACTTGTGTAACAAGTACGAGGTTTAATTTACTTTGAAATGTTTAGAATTATCCCCTTGTTGATATTTTGACTGAAATTTAATCAATCTTGACTGTCATATGGGTTATCCTATGCGGATTGCCTCGATATATAGCCAATATGATAAGTTTTTATAGAACAGATAGATGTTGTAGATCGTCAAAATAAGTCTTGAAAGTGTTTTGCAAGGGGATTCATACGTAATTACAATTGGTAAATACCAAGGTTGAAAGAATACACTGTACCGTTATTAAAATATTTTCAAATTCAGTTTTCTGTTGTAATTGTCCTACTTTGAACTTCAGAGGTTTTGCTAAGTTAAATAATTCAGATAAACATTTGGTAAATGTACTAAACTGGTAAGTGTTCAGCGCTGTTCAAGTCCTTGTATGTGTGACACGTATATATACTGATTGTAAAATATACTATAACACGGTTTCTACAGTATAAATGCGAACCAGGACCACATATGTGATTGAACCAACAATCTTGAGGTTTCTTCAAATACATGATATAATGAAACCGTTGAGTTTGAGTCCAATGATATAAATTTCTAACCGGTAAATTCACTTTATAACAGGAATTAAATATTATTCATGGCGACGATCTTTCTCTTGATCCACTGGTGATAATTTTTCACTTAAACTTTAATAACTACCTGAAAATTCAGTCGAACGTTTGGGGTATCTACCTTCAAATTTCAACTATTTTAATAAAGCAGTCTTCTTTTCGGAATTTATTTTAATGACATAATTGTTACTGAATTCATGTACTCACGCTTAATGCTGTCAGTTATACGTAAAAAACGATTGGAACTGGTTAAATTGCTTTATTATCGGTTACTTATTTCAGGAATGACTTTTTTCAAAGGGTAAATATTGAGTGATTTTCCCTGTATGGAAAGAGGCACAGTATTTTAAGGATTGAAATCAAACATTCTGCGTAGTCTGAATTATTATCATCAGTTGAGATAATATTTAAAGTAAGTAATCACTGTTTGATAAATTTGTATAGTGTAATGAAAATTTGAAGATGATCAGAATTATCCGATGACACATTTGAATATTAAGAATATGAAAAGTATAAAGGTCAACTAGACAAATGGAGTGCAAGGTTAAGAAAGAAAGAATAATGTGACGACAACAACGTATAATATCACAATATTACCAAGGTTGGGAAAAATAAACTCAAAAACGATGAAACTGCCACACACAAATATTATTGATTGAGAGATTTAATTTTCTAAAACCCATGGGCTCTGAATATCCTCATTTATATGGATTACCTAAAATTCCTAAATCAAACACTCATTTACATTCAATTTTATCAATGTGTCCATCACTTACACATAATCTGGCTAATTGGTTGACGAAACTGTTGGATCTTACCCAAAGGGGTGCATGTAGGTATTCTCTGCAGGGTTCTTTTGAGTTATCTGAGTGTTTATGGGATACTAATATGAAGATTAAGACTATGTGTTCTTTTGTCGTGAATTCTTTGTTCCTGAATATATCTTTAAGAAAGACTTGATAGTTTATGTGACTATATATCTTTGAAAAACCTTACACTACCTATTCATTTAACGATTCCTAAAGATTCGTTGCTGTCATGCAATGAAAAAGTCCAGTTCACTTTTGAAGGTAGACGTTGTTTTCCCTTGTTTTGTTGATAACATATGTGAGCCTTTGTTTCAATATTAGACTTTTCTAATCACCTTTGAACTGCATTTTGATTATAACGAGCTTTTTCTGCGCCAAAGATGTAATAGGTCTCACTATAGTGTGACTTTTACATCGATTTATGTATTTTAATTGGTATCCATTTCCCATCAGCGTTTGTTCATTTTCATTAGCATCACTTGAACGAACACAAATAATCCTACTATGTATCCATTTTATCAAACCCCTTTTGTATTTAGTTGAACAATAACCATGATAAATAAGATACTGGCCTGTCCTAGTTGGCTATCTAAAAATGGATCTTTCGAATGAATTATCACGTCCGTTTATGTCTAAAAAGGAAGTTGATTTTTTCTTCAACTCTTCACACAAAAAAGTGATGTAGTTTTGGAGAGTGTTGAGTTTATGCGAAAAACGATTCATAAACTATTTTTGATATATCCACAAATTAGTCAGTCAGCTGTAACAGAGAACTTGAAGGTAAATACTTTCACTTTACCTTTTTAACTACTTAACTAGTTATGGTATTTTCAACAAAATTAAAGTTTTTATAACCTGTCACTCTTAACCGAACATCTATAAACAAATATAACAAATCCAAAAAATAGATGATTTTTTATAACTACAGTTATCGTTTTCGTATTGCATAGCGAATGTTAGTAATATTTGAAAATCGTTCAAAATCTTTGCATTTATCCATCTCTCTTTAAATTTTTGTTTGAGGCTCTTTAGTTACAACAAAATCCCATATTAGTTTGAGTACAGTCGTACCTAGTTTGAATGTTTTATATATACTGAAGCCTAATTTAATTAGGTAATGACTACTGAGATAAAGACTTGTACATATGTAGAGGCATTATCACTAAACCATAGGATTAAATTTCATGCTATTTACTACAAGTCATAAAGGGATACTTGCTATCTTGTGGAAGCTAATCCTTCTGATAAGATTTGAACGCGCGTCATGCAGAGACGTTACTGATGAGTTATTTTGATTATGCCTGACCTCTTTGATGACTGGACTACATACAATGATTGATAACTGAATAGGTTACCAAAGTAGTATGTCTGATTCTTAGTGCAGGTTAAATCCTATTGAGCTGGATCCAACACCACTTGGGATTACATGATTTCGAGTTACTTACACTAACAACGAAGTTACAATTCAACTGACGGTATTCGATCAGTTCTATTGATCAAGTAATAATTTTATTGTTCATTATCCAAACATTAAGTCAATGTACTTACATAGAGATTTGTAAATAACTGAAAGATGTATCTGGTTGATAAGAATTTAAAACGTTTTGATATAAATTATAGATAAAGTATATTTTCAAATGTTACCACTCTATGAGTAAACGATTATATTTTAAGCATGATTAGTCAAAGAATCAGTTATATCATTAGTTGATTTTGATTGGTTGTATTAATTTGATTTTATTTGACCTACTCATTTGAAAAAGAGTCTGTTGATCTCATCGAAAAAGCAATCAAGTGATTACACCAATGTATAAACTAAAAAAGTAAACATTGAAATGATAGCCGATCGTAATGGAGTTGAGTTGACAAGCTAATATGATTAACCAGTTCATAATTAGCATTTGGAGCATTTAGAGGGTAGTTTAATGATCAATCATTTTTAAACTTGTCTTTACTTTTCATAAAAACAGTTTACTGAATTCGTACATAATTATTTAAAAAAATTCATTTTTTTCGAATTGATGATTTTATAACTTACGACTAACTTCCAGGTGAATTTCATTTGCTTGTTCATTTCTTTTAAAAAGTAGCCAACTACGAAATAAAAAAAATTCGGTCAGAACTGTTAATAATAAAATTTTGTAAACGACTACAAAGTATCAAACACGACAACATTTTGATCGAACAGGTAAATCCCAATTTAACCAGCAGTAGTGTCAATGCTATTACTAGGTTAAAAGTACAGAAGCCGAAAACATTTTGCAACAAACCAACGACGGCATGTTGGTTATGTGGTGATTGGCGGTTTTGTCCACTTAAAAAACATAAGTGTCAGATGCGCAATAAACGTGGACATAAAGAGGGCCATTGTCAACCAAATCGTACGTCTCAGCCCAAGAAGAAGCACAAACGTACTCGACATGTGGTGAAATTAGCCGAGTCTAAATCACTTTCTCTCGTAGCTGCTTTCCAAACAGACTATGACGTTCGGAGAAAGTATGTGACTATACAGATGAACGGTGCATCAGCTCGTTTTCAAATCGACACGGCATCTGATATCACCTTGATGTCTAGAGAAACGTACAACTTGCTGGGAAAACCGCCAATGAAGCCATCTAAGAAAACAGCTAAAAGCGCTTCAGGTGGTGTGTTAAAACTGGTTGGTGGGATGCAGTGTGAATTTTCCTTCAACGGAAAAAAATGTACAGGAATATGCTATCTGACGGCCAAACCTTGATCTTCTTGGTCTAGATATGCTAGAAAAACTGGGAATAATGGATGTACCCATTAACAGTGTCTGTAACATATCGTTTTCATTATTGAACACCCCGGTACTTGCAAAGAAGACAGGTGAAAGATTACGTGAAAAAATGAAGGAAAAGTTTGCCTCTGTTTTTCAGAATAACCTTGGCCTCTGTACCAAGATGAAAGCTCACTTACCATTGAAATCGGATGCGAAACCTATTTTTCGTCCTAGATGTCCTGTACCATATGCCACTCTTGAGCTAGTCGATCAGCAACTTAATCGCTTACAACAGGCTGGGGTAATCCAACCAGTCAACTACTCTTCATGGGCCGCACCGATCGTAGTGATTAAGAAAGCTAATGGAAGTATACGCATTTGTGCCGATTTCTCAACTGGTTTAAATGCTGCATTGGATGTGTATCAGTATCCGTTACCAGTTCCTGAAGATCTGTTTGCCAAGCTCAATGGTGGTGCATGTTTCGCGAAAATAGACTTCTCCGATGCCTATCTACAAGTAGAAGTAGATGAAGATAGTAGAGAGCTCCTGACTATTAACACCCATCGAGGGCTATTTCAATACACTCGTCTACCATTTGGCATCAAGACCGCACCGGCTATCTTTCAGCAAATAATGGATACGATGCTAACAGGTATACCTGGGACAGCAGCTTATCTAGATGATATCATAGTTATGGGTTCAAGTGACAGTGAACTGTCAGATCGAGTACATCAAGTCCTTTTCCGAGTGTTGGAGTATGGTTTCCAACTACGTGAAGAAAAATGTATCTTCTTCATGCATTCGATCAAATACCTTGGTTTCATCTTAGATAAGAACAGTCGCCGTCCAGACCCAGCCAACATCGAAGCCATTCAGAAGATGCCTGCACCAACTGATGTCTCTTCATTAAGATCTTTCTTGGGGTTAATCAGTCACTACAGCGCATTCCTACCTGAAATGCATCGAGTGAGAGGTCCCTTGAATGAATTACTATCAAAAGATAAACCTTGGCAGTGGTCAGCAGAATGTCAGGCATCTTTCGATAAAGTCAAGTCGATGCTCAGCTCAAAGCTTCTTTTGACACACTTCGATCCCAGCTTGGGAATTGTTGTTGCATCTGACGCCTCTAGTTATGGAGTTGGAGCAGTAATATCTCATGTGTTTCCGGATAAATCAGAGAAAACAATTGCCCATGCTGCCAGATCCCTCACCCCAGCCGAGCGAAATTACAGTCAAATTGAGAAAGAAGCTCTTGCAATTATTTTCGCTGTCAAAAGATTTCATAAAATGCTCTGTGGTCGTAAGTTTACGCTACTGACAGATCACAAACCTTTGATTGCAATCTTTGGTTCTAAGAAAGGAATCCCTGTCTATACGGCTAATAGATTACAGCGCTGGGCAACGATGCTTCTGAGTTATGATTTCGATATCAAGTATCAGTCGACAAATACTACCGGTCAAGCGGACGCTCTCTCTGGATTAATTGGAGTTCGGCATCCTGAACCAGAGGACATAATCATTGCCTCAACAGCAGTAGACCCAGAAATAAGGAGTGTAGTAGCAGATGCCATTCGAAACACTCCAGTGTCGTCAGAGGAAGTCAGAGAAGAAACTCTTCGAGACCCACTTCTACAAGAAGTTAGAAAGTTTCACCTGGAAGGTTGGCCTTCGAAGATCAACTTTTCAGAGCTTCAACAGTTTTACCAGCGTAGACTCTCTCTTTCAATCATCGACGACTGCCTGCTGTTTGCCGAACGAGTCATAATTCCAGCGAAGCTACAACCAGCAGTGCTAAAACAGTTGCACGTGGGACATCCTGGAATTAATTGCATGAAAGCACTAGCACGAAGTTATGTATACTGGCCGCACTTAGACACCCAGCTAGAGCAGCTATCCCGTTCGTGTACCAAATGTGCATTAGCAACAAAAGCACCGCGCAAAGCAGAGTTGCAATCATGACCAATACCACAGTCACCGTGGCAGCGTATACATTTGGACTTTGCTGGCCCACTTCATGGACAAACTTACCTTCTGGTAGTTGATGCATACAGTAAGTGGCCAGAAATTTTCTTCATGAAACACCCAACTGCAAGCTGCACAGCCAGTAAATTACGTAAACTATTCAGTCGTTTCGGAGTCCCGGAATCGATAGTTATTGACAACGGGACACAGTTTACGTCCGCAGTCTTCTCGCATTTTTGCCGGCAGAACGGAATCTATCACGTCCGAACACCTCCATTCCATCCGCAATCAAATGGTCAAGTAGAACGCTTTGTGAGCACATTTAAAAATGCTCTAAAAAAATCCAAAGGGGAGGGGACCACCGAAGAGATCTTAGAGAGGTTCCTGCTTATTTATCGAACCCTCAGACGATTGACGGAGTCTCACCTGCGGAAGCTCTACTTGGTAGAAAATTACGAACACATTTTGATGTCATCCGTCCTACACCAGCTCTTGAGCCTCAGCGAAACCTGTCGATGGAGAAGCATTTCAATCGACACCATGGGGCAAAAAGACGATCGTTCACAGTGGGCCAGAAAGTACTTGCTATGGACTATCGTGGAAAACATCCTGCATGGACAGCTGGTCGGATTTTAAAAAAGAAAGGGAATGTGGCTTATGAGGTGTCAGTTGGCTCAGAAGTTTGGGTACGTCATGCTAACCAACTGAAAGCAACTTCGATAGCCAGCAACGGGACTCGGCACCGAATACCCCTTGACGTTCTGCTGGACGCCTTCGAAATCAAAACGCCTGGAACACACAAGTCAGTTTCTGTGCAAGCAAAGAGTGACACAACTTCCTTATTGCCGAGAAGATGGACTAATCGAAAGTACAAGCCAGTTTCTCGGTTGCAGTTGGACCCTAGCACCAGATCCTACGAATCTTCTCAAAGGGGAGGTGTTGGTGTGACATAGATGGAATTAAAACACGACTACGTTGCTGCGCGCTGATTGGCTAATTTCCTATCCAATCAGCGCCTGATCGAAGCTCTGAGAACAGGATAGAAAATTCTCGTATTATTAGCTGCATGCTGATTGGTTAAATCTGATCCAGCCGATCACGTGAATTTTCTTCCAGAAGCTTTCTCATGTAAAGGCTATAAATAGACTAGCGTTGTATTCATTTTTGCCTTCTTGCTTTCTTTGCCTTGGCTTTCGCCATCACCTCCGGCTTCTTGTTCCTTGCTATTTTGGAATATAATCTTTCCTGTTAGAACCGTGTTTTAACTTGGGGGACTTGTTCAGTGTTTTGTGTCAAAGAATACTAAGCAATAAGATTTAGCCGGGAATTATCTAAGCAACCGTTACAACAGCCAACTACGAAATATAAAAAAATTCGGTCAGAACTGTTAATAATAAAATTTTGTTTTAATGTTAGAGAACATTACATAATTAATTTGCAAATAGACTGGTAAAAAGTCAGAAAAATGTATACAGCTTAAATTGATCATAATGGTTAATTTTGTCATTAGGAAAGAAATAAAATCGTAGATTTCTGCATTGTTCTTAATTATAAGCTAGGCCTGTGAACAGTTTTAGAAGCTGATGATAAATCAGATACTAAATTCGATTTACTTAATGAAACATCGCGTATGAAAAATCGATCATACTCGGCCAAAATAATCTTATTTATGATCAAGTAAAAAGTCCTCCTGAAACCCCTGTGGAGCTACATCCAATTCCAAGCTCAAATAGGGCTGGCGAACCATTCCATAAAAAAATAACTACCTAACGAAACGCTACCTAGAAAAATCAATTTAAAACATTTAAACTCTGCCCTGGGAGTTAGAAAGCCTTCATTCAGAAAAATTATGACGTCTCATAATAAAAGCCAGATTCCTTCGGAGGTCACGAGGCCGATATCTCTCTGTCAACCATGGCAACCATTGTTTTAGTTAAATGAAATGCTCGAACAATGTGGGAGAACGGAAACTTGTTCCAAATCGCTGCAGAAATGAAAATATACAACCTGGAAGTACTTGGAATCAGTGAGATGCATTGGGCTCGGGTTGGACAGCTAAGACTAGCTTCAAGAGAGCTGCTGTTATACTCCAGCCATGAAGAAGAAAATGCCTCGCGCAAACAAGCAGTTGAACGGATGCTGTCCAAACAAGCACAAAAGGCACTGATAGGGTGTGGGAATGTCATGGTACCAGGATCATCAAAGCACCCTTCAAAATAAAGAAGCAGGGAATTACAATGCATGTCATCCAATGCTATGCACCTACCAATGACTACAATGAAGACATTAAAGATTGATTTTACGAGAGGCTGCAGTCAATCGTCGAGAGATGCTCATCAAAGTATGTGACGATTCTGACGGGCGATCTAAATGCCAAGATTGGCAAGGACAACACTGGATATGAAGACATCATGGGATGACATGGAATGGGAGATTTCCAACAAACTGATCATAGGCTGCATAATATTCCGACATAAATGCATTTACAAAGCTACATGGATTTCACCGGATCACACTACACAAAAAGAAATCCATCAGATCTGCATCAATAAAAAGTTCAGAATGACTGTGAAGGACGTGAGAACCAAGAGAAGAGCTGATAGAGTTTCAGATCACCACTTGTTGGTCGCCAAAATAAAGCTGGGACTCAAGAAGCACTGGACAACGGGGTGAAAAACATCACAAAAGTTTAGAACGGCCTATCTTCAGGATACCGTAAAAGTCAATGAATTCAGGATAACCCTCAGCAGTAGGTTCCAGGCATTTCACGAAGTACTGAATGGAGATGAAACAATTGGAAAATGATTAAGGAGGCAATGACTTCAGTATGTCAGAAGGTTCTGGGTCACAAGAAGTACCATCACAAGGAATGGATCTCTGTTGGTACTCTTGAAAATTCAAGAAAAGAGGAACAAGGAGGCAGCATTCAACATCAGCCAAACAAGAGCAGAGAAAGTTAAGGCACAAGCTGTATACATAGAAGCAAACAGGGAAGTGAAGACGAGCATCAGAGCTGACAAACGTAAACATGTGGAAGATCTAGCAATGACGGCGGAAAAGGCTGCAAGAGAAGGAAACTTGAGCCAATTGTATGAAACAACAAAGAAGCTCGCCGGAAACTATCGTAAACCATAACGGCCTGTGAAAAGTAAGGGGGGCAAAGTAACCAGCAACACTGAAGAACAGCCAAGTAGGAGGGTAGAGCACTTTAAGAAGCTCATGGGTCGACCAGCTCCACTGAGCACACCCAACATCGAAGCAGCATCCACGGACCTCCCAATTGATGTTGGCTCACCAACAATTGAAGAGGTCAGCATGGCAATCAGACAAATCAAGAGTGGCAAAGCAGCTTGGCCAGACAACATTCCAGCAGACGTGTCAGCCACTGCACAAATACTCCATATTCTCTTTAAGGAGATTTGGGATGCAGAACAAGTATCTATAGACTAAAAACAAGGATACTTCATCAAGATACCAAAGAAAGGCGATCTCAGCAAGTATGAGAACTACAGAGGCAACACTCTTCAACAGGGTATTGTTAAACAGAATCAAAGTCTTCGTAGACGTCCGTCTTCGAGATTAAGAAGCTGGATTTCGTAAGAATCTATCGTGTGCCGACCAAGTCGCGACATAACCGATCATTATTGAACAAAAAATTGAATGTAACTCATCATCGTACGTTAACGCTATTGACAAGGAGAAAGCATTCGATAGCGTGGACAGGAAAACACTGTGGAGGCTTCTTCGACACTATAGCGTACCTGAGAAAATAGTCAACGTCATACGGAATTCTTATGATGGATTTGACTGCAAATTTGTGCATGAAAAACAGCTCACAGACTCGTTCGAGGTGAAAACCGGTGTCAGGCAAGATTGCTTACTCTCACTCTTCCTTCTTCTCTCAGCGATCGACTGGATTATGAAAACGTCAACATTTAAGTGGAAGCACGGTATACGGTGGACAACTAGGATGCAGGACGATCCGAACTTTGCGAATGATCTGGCTCTCCTATCGCACACTCAACAACAAATGCAAGAGAAGACGATCAGTGCAGCATCAGGTCTCAACATACATGAAGGGAAAATCAAGATTCTCCGATACAACACAAGATGCACCAACCAAATCACTCTTGATGGAGATGCTTTGGAACCCTCAAGGACAGAGGGAAAGAGGGTGGCGAAGAAACACATTACGCCGAGAAATGGTTAAAGACATGAGAAGAATAAAAGAATGACCAAAAATTGGAGAGAACTGGAAAGAGAGGTGCAGAACAGAGTAGGTTGGAGAATACTGGTTGGCGGCGTAAGTAAGTAAATAATGATCAAGTTAAACTTACGTATCTGACAGTATCGCATAAATCACCCCCTTTTTTGTATCCCATATCAAAATTTTGGTACATAATAAACCAGTACGCTCCTCTTTCGATCGATCTTCAACATCAACTGGACCTAGAAAACAGCTAGTCACCTCTCCAAGATAAGCTGACTCAATCAACGCATCAAGTACCTGTTGGAAGGAAAGTAGTAATGGTAAAATACATGTGTTATATAGGTGGTGTACTTTTTAGAAATTTTCTATGAGCTAATTAGCTATGGAGATGAAAATAATTTTCTTTAATTGTCTTTGATGTTTTTACTACCAAGTGAGGATCGGTATTTAACGTTGATATATTATGCAACGTGAAAAATATCTTGTTTAAATAGTGAAGAGTCACTTTAAGTATGAATATATTTATGAAATTTGTTCGTTTATTGAGTTACAATTAATATGGTTTAAAGAACAGTTTAACAATGAGAATATTGCAGGACTCTGAAAAATTGTCTGCAGTTAGCAACAATGTTTGTTTCTTGTAATGATTTTGAAAAATTACTTTTTTCTCTCCAAAGGCTCCCTATATTATGAAATCTTCATTGTTTGTTGCCATTTTGAGCGGAGGAACATTTATTGATTATTGGGAATTGAATATAGATAAACTGGTTCCAAAAAATTTAACTTAGTTAATAAAGTGGATGATAATAAATTAATACTTTCAGCCTATACTGTAAATTACATAACATTTAATCGTGACAACCTCACAGCTAAGAATATCAGTTAACTCAATACTTCTTACACAGTGAAATCATGAATAAATCATTGTTAGACCTCCATTAGAAACCTGAAAACACTGGACGGCCGTTTCTTCCTGGTATGGAATCCATAAGCAGTGCACATCCACAACACCTGGTACTCACAGGACTCGAACTCAGGACTTTCGTAATAATACTATAATACAAAATCAACACTTATTTGAAAAAATCTATTGATTTTTAAGCTGAAATCCTTCTCAACTGTATTACCTTCACATTTGAGTTTGTTCATATATAATTTCGTCAAGCCTTTTGATTAACTTACATATTTAACTGAGTCATTTGTATAGGAACAACTTATATATTATTATTATTATTATTATTGTCAGGTTTCTATGACCTTATACGACCGAACATTGCTTACCGCCTACGTGCATATTCACTCTGTTTGCTTTAAGATTAGCCTCCATGACTCATCCATTTTCCTATGTATATATATGTACATTTTAATACTTTTCATTCATTCGCTTGCCTGCCCTTTGACATTTGGGTATTGATCTTTGCTCTGCGTGCTGATGGTTTGTGGTCTATTTGTGGTGCGCCGAAACAAACGTATTTAACACTTCTTATTCCTCATTTGATTTACAAACAGTGAGGCAACGTTTGTCTGGATGAGCAGCATACGAAGTCTAGAACATATTGAAAACCAACCGCCACGAAATTAGTGAGGTACCGGGCAACACAAAACAAAAGCTTTTTTAAAGTATTAAACTTACCAAAACATTTCTTGTTTTATCAATCATTAAATGTTCACCAGTGATTTGACCTATCAGTCTACGACCACAATCTCCATATTGTCCAATTAAACAAATATATGGTTCTAATGAAATATTTAATTGGTCATTTCCATTGAATACATCACAACTGAACTCCAGTTGTACACGATAATTTAAAAGACATAATTTTATTTCTTCATCTAGTTGTGGATTTGATAATTTTGTTGATGTGACTTGTTCTCGAGATAGACAGTAAAAATTGTTATATTTTCCAAATGGTCGACCAGCAAAATCAAATCTTAACTGTTTGGATGTCTCGACATTTTCTAATATCACCTTCACAGTATGTTTATATTTTGTCAGGTAAATAAGGTAAACAATATAGAGCAGAAAAAAACAAACATTTTTCAGATGCTTATTATGAAACATTGCATTAAATATACAATTAGTTAAAAAAAAGTTTTATTTATTTAATGTTAAGAAATAATCAAATGTTCTACAAAATAGATGGGAAAATAACAATAGATTTAGTGGAGATTTAGTTGAAAAGATAATTCAGATAGATTTGAATGTATATGGTAGGTTCGCGACTGGGTATGCTTGAAACTATTACGGGTTCACCTTAGTCGATAACCTAGAACGAGACAATGAACCAGCGTCCAGGTAGGCTACCTTGATCGGTTGACTCGAAACGGCTGAAGAGAAGTCTGGATATAGCGTACAAACACCCAGCAAGCACAATGCAATTAAGCACACAACTCTCGTTTATTTATACATCAAAGAAACGTCCTTGGGACAGTAACAATAAGTACACTAAAATACAAAGCATCCAATCATAACCATGGATTTTCCTGGTGGGAAATGAAATCTCAAGGTCAACTGATCAGCTAATTCTCGCAAACGAGAAATAAGGCATTTGTCAAGGGAGTTCTGGGAATCTAACGTCCCCGACAGTATCATTCTGAATCACTTAATACCAGGTCTTTCGAAATGTCGGAAACCAAAGGGAATACAGCTCATTGAAGCAATATATCCTTGTGGTTTTTTATTAAGGTCAGCTAATTTTCTAATAAACGATTTAGTGCAGACATTCCATTCTTTCAAAAAATTCGTCGAAGCTTGAGTGTTTTATAGTATAGCATCCTAAGCTCCAATTGGGTTTATACACGTTCAAATTTACTAAACACTTTAATTAGCTTACTTAAAAGACAGTGGTATTTTGATAAGTAAAAAGTTGTCTTTTTCGTTATTCATTTTATTGCCGTGCTTCTATAAACATGTTTCATTGATCCCATATTACGCATATACTTCTCTTACTGGCTTAAGTGAAATTTATCTAAAACGTTTGATGAATCGTTTACATGGCGTACTATATGTACTAATTTTCATTCTCATCTTCACTCACACTCTTATTCTTATTAACTGACGAATTTTTTGATGAGTCTCTCGCATCGCGAGTTTGTTGATCGTTTGATCTGTACTCTGCTAAAATACTGTTGCAATAGCTTTGAATTGTTTCCTGTAAATCAACAGAACGTAAGGAATGATAACAACAACAGTTATCGGGGCAACTGATATACGACGTTTTGGTATAGCTTTGACGATACCTTAAAGAAGCAGATTATTTTTTGATAGTTTATATCCTTTTTAGCAAGTTGAAACCTATGACAACGTATTACTTTTTGAAGACAGATGTACCTTAATGAAAACTTTCGACAAGTTACTGATGTAGACGAGAAATATTTTTCTTAACTGTTCATCAACAAACCGAAAGTTTAAATGTACATTTACTCAGATGAAAAGTATGTAAAAAGAATATGTAGTATAGACTGTTACAAAGAATTTATTCACCAGTCTACAAAAATTCAATCAAATAATGCTGTTCTTAATCAAAAGGTTTAAACGGAATATCATGACTCTGCTTTTAAATCTTCCATTAAAGTAAAAGTAAAGGAAACTCAAGATCTTTATTAGTTAGCGTTAAACGTTTCTACTAACCACATTTATTTACACATTAACTGAAAGTGGAAGCAGTTTCTTGTTTGTCAGTATGGGGTTCTGGAGACTGCTTTGAAATTATCAACAAATCAAAGTTAAACAGTCATTGAAAATCTGGAAACACTAGATGGATGTTTTGTCTCGGTATGAGACTCCTCATTAATGCGAAACTGTGAACCCACTATCGGAAATCGAACTCAGTACCTTTGAACGCGCACACGAATTCCTAACCTCGAGACCACTGATATGGTACCCAAAGTCAAGTGAGTCTAGACTCAATTTTGATTGGTTTGTGATTTCAATGAAATTTAACAGTCTTTACAACTCCATAGTGAGGATTACCATGTTCTCACAAGTGACTAGGTTCGATAAGAAGTTTCTGGAATCCTGGTGCAAAGCCGGGCTAAGTCGTGTTGGGTGTGAGGAAGTTAGCCATTCAAGTCAACGGAAGATGGTCACACAGTACTGTGAACTGACTGAAGCTAGACTAGCACACAGTTCTCATAACGGTTGTCAAGAGTTTAGGAGTTCCTGTGCAGAACCAAAGGTACTAGATTCCGTTTCCAATTTTGGGGTCACGGATGTGCGCTGCTGAAAAGTCCGTTCAGTGTTTCCAGATTTTCAATGGCTGTTCAATTTTTTGATGGGTTGATAAGTCTAATGGAAATTCCAATTTTCTCTATAACTATACTTCAATGAATCATTAGCTTAAACACTAGACTCATTAAATTTTAAAAAAGAAGTTATTATCTTAAATACTCACAAAATATTCATCATTTGAAACTTACTGTTTGTATTTGGCTGGCAAGTTTGATAAATCAAAGAATAGTTATAAAAAAATTCAACTTGTAATATATTTTCATCAATACTTACTTTATCAACTTCCCATTCACTGTCATTATCTGGATCTATTTGATTTACTTCTAAACGTATTTTGTAAATTGTACCGTTATTTTCCAGTATAATCTATCAAAATAAACACATGGTAGTATGGATTGTAATTCCTGGCTTTATTAAGTTATGAAAGAAGTAGTTGTTAGAATTATGGAAAGCTTTTTTAATTATCACTTTGAGGTTTTGGAGTTTGTTCAGTTTCATTAAAATCATGAACAGATCAATGTTAGTCAACCATCTAAAACCTGGTACCACTAGAAGGTTATCTCGTTCTAGTATGATTCTGCATCCAACGGTGTTAATGTCTAACTTCAGTCAATCCACGACGTTGCACTGCCTCATCCAGTGCCTCCAGTGGATAACTACCTTATATCCGACATGGTTCAACTCTACTGGTCACGGCTTCTCACTAGAACTGCAAGAATTTCCTCCCAAAGCTAATCAGTGAGTATATGATAATTGTCATCATGAAGTTGTAGAGGTTGTTGAGATTCATTGGTGCCTTAACAGTGATCAGTTTATGATTTCAATAAAGCTGTTTGAACGATTACAGCTATGAGATAAGTGAAGAATAAGTTTAACTTCAAACTTACCAACTGCATGATGAAGTTTAATCGTGATATGTTCGTACAAAAGTGTTGAGATGGTCCAGAAAAAGGATTGTTTTTACTTTTTTTAAGTGTTGTAAATTAAAGATATTGTTTCCAGTTGATATTATCGCTTTGTTGTTTTAATAATTGAACAATAACATTGCTTAAGAATTGACAAATTACTCACGTAAACAAATTTTATTGTACTTATTTACTAAGCAGATACAAAACGTGATAAAATAAGTTGCTTCAGGAGTGCCAAATACAAAATGAAACGAAGTATATAAATAATTAGAGTAGTTTAGAGGCAGATGTATATTAGAAATGAATAATAGTTTACTCATTATTTATTCAGATTTTGAAATATAAATAATAATAAACCGATAAGTATTTGTATTCTCATATGCCTAGTTAAAGGAAAAGAGAATTATGTTCCTAAATTTGATTTTTCTTTATTATAAAAATGATCACCAGGTTCTCACTTTTCACTTTATTTGTCATCTTCAAAAGCTGCTTGTTGTAGGCGTCGTTAGAATGATACATTAAATTTGCTCTTGAAGTACTTTTTCTCTTTGAAATCAACATTTAAAAGTAATTTTTACGAAACAGTTTTTATAACACTTAACCAAAAAGAGTATTTTATTGTATGCGATGAATTCAAAAAGATTTTATCACTTTAAAAAATTAATATTTTCTTAATGGACCTCATTGCTGATTGGTAAATGATCAGAAGCACTTTTACTTCTATATTCTCACCTAAATTAAATCGAATATTTTGTTAAAAATGTAACAAAAAAAAACGTAGTTTAAAAATACATCTTCAAATTATAGGTTAATTGAATGTATTTTCAACCCTCTAATTAAAATGAATCATCATCGATATTAAAGAGATGAATTAGGTGTATCCCTAAAATAATAATACTTTACTTGCCATGAAATTATCAATCCTGTTCGTTTGAAATAACCCCTTGACATCGTTTGATCTTCCAATTAATATTGGACCTGAGTTGCCATCTATTCCGTAGACAACCAAGATGATTTCACAGTTCTGTGCTGATTTTTCTGTATAAATAGATAATTTCCAACTGGAATCTAAGAATTAAGAAAAACTTTTATCATTAAAACTCATTGAAACCAACGTTTTGTTATTATAAAACAAAAGTTGAATAAAAAATTTGGTTTGTAGCTAGTAGTATTGTGGTGCTGTGGTGCGAACTACTTATAAGTAGTATATAACGTGAGTGTCAACGTAAAGTCTGGTAGCATAATACGGGGGGAAGATCAAGAAAGAAAGAGTTAGAAAACAATGGAATTTGTATCAAACGCATGAATAGTGACAATGGATTGATGTTTGGCAACAGAAACAGTCCAGTTCCATAGGATGAACTGATCTTTTGCAAATAAACGATTTACGATATGGTTTTCCAATTTTACTGAGCAAGTCTGTAATTTTCGTTATATACAATACGGTTGCCCCCACCTGTGTTCTCATTCACTACATTTGGTGTCGCTGCCAGGATCGAAGGAAGGGGCTCCCGTGGCCGAAGGAGTTGCAGGGCGGAGATTGGCGGAGCTTGCTGGAGGAGTTTGGGGCCACGGTGGAGCTGGTGGGGGCTTGGGGCGGAGTTGACGGTGCTGGGGACGCTGCGGGGAGGTGAGGCGAAGGCGGTACACGACAGCCTGGACGGTGCCGCCGAGGAGAGGGCGTGGGAGACGGTCACCGGGCGGCTGATAATGGAGTTCGACAGCCCAGCGGACAGGGAGGAGGCGCCGCAGAGGTTCCGGTTGGCGCGGCTGCCGGCCGATGGTGACCTGTTGGTGCTTGCTGTGGAGCTCACCGGATTGCGCCGTGAGGAGTGGGCGGGGCACAGTCTTTGGCGTCGCAATTTATCGAGTGTGTGCCTGCCGCCGTGTTCCAGCATCGGGAACTTGTAAACGCTACACGTTGGATAGATGCTGTATCCATTCAGTCAGTCAGTTGCAACGTAGAACTTCGTACGTAAGTACATCAGTTCATGTCGCCATACCACATCAGCACAGAGATATAATTGTCAATTCAAATCCAATAGTAGAAGAGGTAGTAAAGGTATTAGAAGTAATCGTAGACGTTAGAATTAGAAGATATTATTCACGAAGTATGATTAAATGAGATAAGTTTAGAAAGTAAAAGCTAGAGGTGTTGAAGAACTCAGAAGATTAGGATTTGAGAGAACACAAAGAATAAATGCACTGGCGCCATTGCGAACGATTTTGAGCCATGTCATTCAAGGTCTCTAACCATCGATTATTATCATCTCGCGGACCCCAACCAGGTAGTCGACAATTACCGACATGACTTAGTCCACTCGTCAATGACTTCATGGATTTCTGCCACGTTTTGGTTTGACCGCCCCTAGCTTTCTTCCAACCTATTCCTACACTACAAAACAAAGCTCGACGAGGCAGTCGGTGGTTAGGCATACGCAACACGTGTCCCAACCACCTCAACTGATGAAGTTTCACCACTTCATCGATTGATCTGCCATTCTTACTTAGTACCCGTTTCCTAATAACAGCGTTGCTAACTCGGGTGTCCCACGGTATACGAGCAATGCTTCGAAGACACCTATGATCGAAAACCAATAACCGACGAGTATCATCTACTCTCATTGGCCATGTTTCACAGCCATAAAGTAAGACGGAGCGAACCACTGCGCAGTACACTCGTCCTTTAGTCAGCAAACGGATACCTCGCCTACGCCATAAGTGACGCAGGTTGGCAAAAGCCAATCGAGCCTTCTGTATCCGTGCCGAGATTTCGTCAGTCACCAGGCCATCAGCACTGATGAGACTCCCAAGATAGGTGAAGCGGTCTACACGTTCGACCACTTCACTCCCTATCACTAGTTCAGGTGCCGATGACACCCAATCTTGAAGTAACATTTTGCATTTCGAGGGGGAAAACCGCATCCCGAACATGCTTGCATTGTTGCTTAGGGTAGTCATAAGACTCTGCATTTTTTCAGCGTCTTCACCAAGTAGGACCATGTCATCGGCATATTCTAAGTCAATAAGCGAGCCACCTGGTAAAAGGTCTACTCCAGAAAATTCAGACGAGGATAAGGTAATTTCTAGGAGCATGTCTATGATAAAATTAAACAAGAATGGAGAAAGTGGACATCCCTGACGGACACCACTTGAAGTAGAGAATTCCAGTCACAGTTCGCCATAAGCTCTCACTCGACCAGTGGTGTTTGAGTAGAGAGCTTGTATGAGGTTAATGTACTTCTGTGGTACACCTTTCAATGACAGACACTGCCACAGAACCTCACAATCCACTGAGTCAAATGCCGCCTTAAGGTCCAGGAAAACAACTATTGTAGGACGCCTAAATGTGTGTCTGTGTTCCAGGACCTGTCGTAGTGTGAAGACGTGGTCTATACAGCCACGTCCAGGTCGAAAACTAGATTGGTTTTCTCGAGTTTGCTCTTCACGAGCTTTCGTTAAGCGTCGAAGTATTACTGAGGCCAATATTTTAGATACTATATTAGTTAGACTTATTCCTCTGTGATTGTCACAAGAAGACTTCTGTCCTTTCTTATAGATTGGGACAATCAGTGATTGAGACCAGTTGGATGGGATTGCGTCCAGTTCCCAGATTCTACCTAAGATCTCAGTCAACCTAGCTGATAAAACTGGACCTCCATCATTAAATATCTCAGGGGTAAGTCTATCAGGACCTGCAGCTCGTCCTCGTTTCAGATTTCCTAACGCTTTTTCAACTTCATTAAGACTAAAGGGACTTACGTCGATTTGCCATTCAGGATGACTGGAGATCGTGGGTAACCGAAGAGTGGCTCGTGGCCAGTTGAACTGATCCCTAAAGTGTTCTGCCCATCGATCCAGTCTCCTGGATTGAGAATAAATAATAGTCCCGTCATTTTATTAGATAGTGTCACTTACACTAGGATTCCTAATACCAGTTTCCTTGATAAGTCGGAAAAGTTGTCTACTGTTGCCGATCGCCGCTGCCTTTTCCATCGCTTTTGCTTTCGCCACCCACCACGGCTCGCGATCGTTACGTAGGCTTTTCATAAGTCTGCGCCTAAGTTGACTTCGTTCTTCATCATGTTCAGAGCCAGGTGGGATGAGTTTTCGGGCATCCATCAGGTCGGTGGATGCTACTGAGATCCACGGTTTCATTCTAGCCTTATGGTCAACCTCACTAGCAGATATCACTGCTGTTTCCACAGCCTTTTTGATATCATTCCATCCTGCTTCCGGATGGGAATCGCTTAAATGGTCGCCTAACTGTCTTTCTAGTTGTTCCTGAAATATGTTTTTCGCCTTATTATCATTAAGTAAAACCCTAAGAGGCTTTCTTACGGTGTCTTTCCTACGCCCAGTAAGCTTCAAACAAATACGCGCTCGCACTAGGGCATGATCTGAATCTAGACATGTGCCCCAGAACGAGCGACAGTCCTCTATCGAACCCCTCCATCGGTGGCTGATGGCGATGTGATCTAGTTGAGTCCAACGTTGAGACGACTTTGGAGGTCGCCAGGTCAACAGATGCTTTTCCTTATGTCTAAAGTTAGTGTTTGCTAAGAATAGGCGGTTGTCTGAGCATGTTTGCAACAGACGGTCACCATTGTCTGTTCTCTGAGCCGCGACACCATAACATCCACCTAGGTGTCTCTCCTGCTCACTTAGTCTACCTACTTGAGCATTGAAGTCACCAGCCATTATTATTATATCAGAGCGCCTAGCTTTTTGGAGGAGGTCCGAAAGCTTTCTGTAAAACTCATCCTTAACCTCGTCTGAACTGCATTCAGTGGGGGCATAGGCAGATACGATGAAGAGGCAACGGCGATTGTCCCTATCTTTCCGAGTCCTTACTGTCCCGTTTAGTCGGACAGCGCACAATCAACTATCTATTGGGATCCAGTCAAGGAGAGATTGTTCTGCCCTACGACTCAATGCTATGCCTACGCCAGCAAGACCCCGGGAAGCAGTATCAGGGCTACCGGATACACGGAACGTAAATCGAGCTGCTTCTTTATTTTGACATGGTGTGGTCAAGTGTATGACGCGACTCGGATCCTGTATGCGCGTTTCCGAGACGCAGCATACATCGATGGCACGAGATTCTAAAGTCATAGCTAAGGAAGCCTGTTGCCCTATTTGACACAATGTCCGCACATTAAATGCTCCAACATGTAGTCTAGAGCGAGGTTTAAGGAGACCAGGAACGACGTTTCGCGAACTCGTATCGTCTGCATTAGCTGTGCACTGTGATGAATGAATGTGAGAAGAGTTAGTCGTGGAGATAAGAGAGACATTAGGGGGTGTAGGAAGGATTTGATTTTGACCAATTTGGTCTCGCGTGCTGTTATGGGTATGAGGGCGGTTGTCACTTCCCGGCTGCCCACACCGTGGAAGGTTGTTTCTTGAGGAACCTGAAAAGGAAAATAGATTAGTGTTGGTGCGTGACCGCAGAGTCCAAGGGACAACTGCTTGAGGCCGGTCACGCACGGCCTTTTTATGAAAAGTTTTTTGAGGATTAGCTCCGTTCTTAAAGGCCCTTAGTGGGCACCCTTACCCAAGGAGACGGAAATCCGTGAGTTAGGGGAGGTGTGACATTTTTAGGGCCGACCTTTTCTAACCCTTCCTTCCTTGTGAGAAGGCAGCATCGCTGCAGATGCTGGTTGTCCGAGGGAAACACCTTACTCCTGTCACACCCCTCTGCAGTCAGCAGTACGACTTCGCCCTCAGACCATGGGTAGCTGCTTTTAGTCTCATCGTTCTCCAATCGACCTGTCTGGCATGGTAGAACCTTGAGGAACATATGTTCCAGCCAGTATAGCTCGGTTGGATCATCACGATAGGCAAGCCCGACCACCACGTCAAGGTAGCAGCTACGGTCGGGATGTATCCATTATAGACCAGTGATCAAGAACGATGACCGAAGTGGTAATCCGGCATATTGTAGCGTGTCACGGAATACGGAAGGTGATATTAACTGACCAGGGTCTCTGTTTTGAAGGACTACGACGACAGCTTATTTAAAGGGGGGACGAGTGTGGTGCTGTGGTGCGAACTACTTATAAGTAGTATATAACGTGAGTGTCAACGTAAAGTCTGGTAGCATAATACGGGGGGAAGATCAAGAAAGAAAGAGTTAGAAAACAATGGAATTTGTATCAAACGCATGAATAGTGACAATGGATTGATGTTTGGCAACAGAAACAGTCCAGTTCCATAGGATGAACTGATCTTTTGCAAATAAACGATTTACGATATGGTTTTCCGATTTTACTGAGTAAGTCTGTAATTTTCGTTAAATACAATACGGTTGCCCCCACCTGTGTTCTTATTCACTACAGTATAACCAAAAATGCATGCTTCATTCTAGTTGAGAGTCATCATCTGAATGTGCTTGGAACCTAGTGTTAAATTTTACGCAGAGCTCATTACCTCTTATTTCTAAAAGCCAACAGATTATCCAATAAAAGTTCAAAACAGCTACCAATCTGTTCAATATGATTGTTAACATCTATTTTTAATGATTTATAAAGGCTGAATTGAAATCATTATACTTTCATTGGGAAAAAAGCGAAACTCAAGTAAACTCAGACAACGTGCATAGCTTGATCTGTTTCATTGTTCAAAGTACCAATGACGTAAATATGAATCCTTGTGGTTCATGTAGAAGGCTTAATATTGTATAACGAATGCTGAATTTCAGTGATTTGTTTTGCTTGAATATTCTTAAGTTTATGTAGTGTTTTAAACTAACAATTTATACAACTTTTCTATAGCTTTGCTGTACGACTGGTTGGGTGGATCAGATATGCTCAAACATGGACAATTTTACTCTAGTCATGACATATTACATTGTCATGGAGAATGTTATCCCAACATAGTCCGTTAGACGGAATTAACTGATTGGGATACTACTAATTCAAGGATTCAGCATAACATGGATCTCATTTGAAGTACAGTAAAATTGGAGACAGAACCTTATGGGCTTGGAAAAGACATCATGCTGTCTATTCTTATTAAACTGTTGTCATGTATTTATAATACTGATGATTCGAATTTATTACAAAAGCCTTTAGTCTAAATATTATTATTTTTAGTGAATAAGCTATATTATTTGTTAAGAAGTTGAAATGCAGCTATTTACGAAAGGCACATACATTTAGTTATTTCTTTCTTATTTATCTGTTTTTTATTCCAGCAAGATTGGCACCTAAAACTGCTTCATCTCGAGACTTCATCTCTTTTTATTACATTCCCTTCATTGTCACGATCAAATATTGGAGTGTCTTTGAGCAATCCTGTCTACATTAGACATGACGGAATTGTCACTTCATTAAAATTAGCTTTCAACATCACCTAAAATATATGCTTTTCCATCTCCAATTTGATTTGTTCACTGAAAGCCGTCAGTCTATCATACTTTTACCGAATAGCTAATAAATCATCTCTTTAGTATTGAATAAAGTTACGAGTGATTAAGTTTTGTGGATTATTTTAGTAACATTCAAGTGTAACAAATAATTTGTGTGATGTAAATCTGTTCTGTTTCCAAAATTTAAATAATATTAGAACAGAAAGGAAAAAACAAACAAATAATACACTTTCTCATCTAACCTTTCACATTCTGACATTCATTTGGGCTTTGTAAAGTTTTTGCTTTATTCAAATTATTTTCATTAGAATCTGTATTATCACCATATATACTTTTGTTTGAATCGATATCTGTTTGATTGTGACATTGTGTTAATTCTAATATCTGTTGTTGTTGTTGATGTGTGTTTTGTCTTGATGATGATGCAGTCTTGGATTCTTTCGGTCGATCTTCCTCGTTCTCTTCCCGTTTTACTTTATTATCTAATAATGAATTGGCAATGATTGATTGAGGTTTAATATCCATTGTTCTATTTGTTAAACATGAGCTATCCAATCGAATTTGTGGACTAGGAAAACCGTCTAAAATTAAAAAAAAAGACAACATTCGAATAAAATGACATATATTTAGTCGGTACATGACTTTCATTCAGTCATTTATATGGACTAATTATTTGATCAAAATCAATATTAAGTTAACTAATTTTCAGTGCTATAAAAAAATTTGTTCTTAGCCGAATAAGTCAGTTGTAATTTATCTAATTGTAATATGGGATGACTTATTTTTTCAAAATCATAAATATATTCTGTCGATAAATTTGTTTTAGCACAAAACTATTTTCAGAATTCCGTGTTCTTGATTTATTCTTACTTAAATTGATCATTTTTGAATAACTCAAATGAAGAACTTTTCAAAAACAGTTTTTAGATAGAGTGCGACTGGCAGTGGAATCCAGAGTGCGTGTTTCTTCCTGTTTGGGACTCATCAGCTGAATGTACCAGCATCTCAGAGCGATTAAAATAAAGAATGAAGATTCACTGAATTCAATTATGTATTAAGTCAGTTTCTGTAATGGAATAAGATTTATTTATATTCTTGAATGAGTTTCATGATTAAGATAATATTTGTCAGCAGATAAGACTATAGAACATAAGTTAGCACTTACGTTATTTAAATACAGTGTAACTTGTGCATAAACAATGATAATCACATTCATGTACAAAAGTGTCAAGAATTATACGTTATTTGTTGATTAACTGCTTTGTAACACACTCACTGCTTTATCTAAATACCGACTAAGCGTTTAACTTTTAATCGTTTTTACAGTATTTCTATCAAGTAAATTCAATATTTTTCTGATTTCACCTACATTTGTGTGATAAATGATCATTTTATTTTTAATTCAATTGTTTGAACTTATATATATTGATAATTTAACGGTCTATTGATTGATAGTTTAGTGAATAAAATGATTCTTATAACAGAACATTAGATATTAAGAATTGATTGACAAGTCAGATTTACTATCACTGAATATGAATGATCCAAATTTCATAGAAATTGATATGACTAAGAATAATAAATTACACACTGTATATAATAATAACTATCTGTAAATTATCCTGAGAGTTACAGATGTTTGAATAACATTGTAAGTATATATATTGCTCTCACTATACAATTAATTATTTTCTCTTCATCCGTTGTTGTTGAACGTTTGGTAAAGTAAAATTCAAAACTTTTTATGTGAATTGTATATTTATAAAGATATTTTTGTGTTTGACAGTAAAACCATCAACTTCAGAAAACTTGTCTTAGATATTGAATAGAATTTGTTTGAATTATAGTCAAGATAAGTTTATTTCAATTAGTTGGCTCACTTAATCAAATATTATTATTACTGCGTACTTGGTTCTTTTATTTTGTAAAGCGATTCCCTATATATCGTCAATATATTTTGGTCACAGAACGATTTTAGTGATGTTTTTCAACAAGACAAAATTGATACAGACTTTCTTTGAAATTACATATCAGTTAATGTTAGAGCACCAACGAAAAGCTGGTACTACTGGATGGTCATCTCATCCTAGTATGAAACTCACATTAATGAACACTCACTACCCCCACTCGCGGGAATCAAATCGAGTACTTTCGGTCTTGTATACGAACGCTTAACCTCTAGATCACTAAGCCGGTATCCAACAGTGTTAATATTTAATTTCAGTCAGTCCACGATATTGAGCTGCCTCATTCATTATCTTGGGTGGATAATTTCCTCTCGTCCGACATGGTTTAGCTCCTCTGATCACAGGTTATCATAAGTATTGCAAGAAGTCCCTATTAAAGCCAGTCACCAGTGAGCATATGATAGTTGTCATCACAGGGTTATAAAGTTTGCTGTTTAATAGGATATACAATCAATTCAAGATCATATTTAATCACTCAATAGGTTATTGTAATAAAACATGCACTTCAAAATAGTGTATATATTCACTAAACAGTGAATAATACTTTTTAAATACTTACATTGGATAACTTCTGGATAAAAACGTGAATTTTCCTCCATTGTATGTTTGTCATATAAAGTAATTGTTCCATCTTCATTCATTCCAATAATTTTTTTAATATTCATAAGAGGTGATAACTGAAGGAAACCTTTAGAGCGAACACGATTAATTTGAAAGTAACAATCCATTCCTCCACCACCCTGTAAAATTATTTTACAAAATGAAATATTGTATTGGAAAGTGTAAGTAACACGCTCTTAAACTACTTTATTGGAAAAGAATAATATGGAATTTTATAAAATAAGTGAAAATTAATCATCCTTAAAACTCTCATTTTAGAGGTATTTCTCATGGTTCTTATTGCTAATTAGATGAAGTAAAAATAATCTATCTTATTTAGTCTCAAACCAAACTTTCAAGTTTGGGTATTTATATATAGATATATTAATGAATAAACTCTTCAGTGTTTAAAAGTATTTTTTTTCTGTCTACTTTGGTTTTCTATTTAAGTCAAAATACAAGTCTGCTGATGTTACTATCACGATTGTACATGATTTGTTCATACTATCGTTCTTAAGACGATTATATAAATTTTCTTTATTACGAGAAATAAGTTCTATTTCTCTTTGTCTTTAGTAAGATAACAAGGAAATGTAATCCACTTTATAGATAAACAAAAGGAATGAATGTTTATCATTGTGAAATAAATTTGATTTTACATTTTAAGGCCTAAATAGGAGTTGAATTACTGAGCCACTTCTTTTTATTGATCAGTTAACAAAATAGTTTAGGAACATACAAGTATGTTTCGGTTATTTTTCATCAGGCAAAACCTTTGAATCATTATGCTACTGTGGAAACAAGTAGAGAGAAAAAACGATCCATCAGGCGTATTATCTCGTTCTTGAGTATGTTCGACTGTGATAAGATAGAGAATTAAAAGAATCTTTTTGAGATGGTGGAGAAAACTTGTAGCTCAGGTGGATGATTGAACAAAACACCACCAGAATTAAAAGAATCCTTCAGAAACTCAGCATTTTTGCATCTAGTGGATAGATGACACAAAATAGAGACAAGCTCATCATTCAGTATCATAGTTAAAATATCAATGAAACTTTCGTTGTTTGTGCATCTGGGCTTAATGAACAGCTTACTGAACTGACAACAATTATTGAGATTTTCCAGTTAAATTTTTGCATAAAGGAAAATCTTTTATTCGGCCTTCCCCTAAAAATCGATTAGAACATTTATGAAAAACTTCATAAATATTATTACTTTTTGATCATTATCACTGTCAGTTTCATTTGGTACATTCTTCACATAATTTATCAATGATTTATTCATTTTATTAATCCTTTTACTCAATATACATACTGATTAACTTCTAACATACTGTATGTACAAACCTATGACTTTTTAAAGCTTGATAACAACCATTGAAAAATACTAATTTGTGTAAACTGCGCTCTAAATCTCTCATGATCAGAATATTTTACTACCAGAGAATACAAATCATTCATTTATTGATTCAAAAGTAAGCTTACACACAGACCGAGATCAACAAGAAGACAATTTAGAACTCGGAAAGATCGAAATCTGTTTTGTTCTAATGTGAAATTGATCATGGTAATCTTTGTAATCACCTGAAATGAAACAGTTTAAGTCCCATAGCAAAAGTGATAAATAGGATCAAAATGTTTTGAACTTCACGATGTTCTCACTGTTTTTTTAGAGATATCGTTAATTATCTAATGTCATCTATAAGTAACTCTCTCACACCTAAATAACTTAATTCTTCTTCATCTATTTAGTATGTGATATCGAAATGAAGTTTATAAACGGTAGTATGCGATTTCTGTTTGAATTACAATCTACCGGTTCAAAATCTGTTTAAAAAATTATATTGACAAAATTGCTTTTATCGAAGAAAAATTACAATAATGAAAACGTTTTAATAAAATAACTAACCATAACATCTACAGTATCTGATGTAACTCGTAAAAAATTTCCTGGCCATGCAACTGATTCAAAGCGTCTAACATTTTTGTCTACTTTGTGAACTCTCCAATATGCTTCGGTAATTCGTTCACCTGTAGCACGTAAATCAAATTTACAACCATTGATTTTATTTTTTGAATTGTTTTGATTTGTCTCATGAATTAATATAGGTATTAATGTTTGTTGAATTTCTGTACATAACCATAATATTGTCTGATCTCGTAGACAACCCTGTTTGTGATTTTGAAAAAAAATAATGAATTGGTAAATCAAAAAACACAAAAGAATCATTAATAACTAAAGCATAATTCATAGCTTATGTTTGTGAAATATGATAAATTTATGATTTCTTGAATGTCTGATATGTTTATACATATATTTTTATCTATCTATTCGTGTTTAAATACTGGTCTAAGTGATTTAACTTTGTGATGCAATTTTCATAGTGTTAGTTAGTCAAGAGTAGAGTCTCGATCTAGGAGGATTCAAGTTGAAGAGTGATGAATATTCAGAAATCTAAGTTTCTGGGTTTTTGATGATTGCCTTCATCAGCCTAACATGAATGCATTTTTTATTATCAAATAAAGTCGTTTGGCAAATCATACGTAACAGAAGAAATAGGGTTTTACAGAATATCATAACTTCAATGAATTTCAGTATATTTTCTGTGTTTCTGAATTTTCTGCCACAAACAGAACACACAAAACTGATGTTAAGATGAGATTATATTTTATGAAGTTGTTTATTAAGACCGGATGACTTCGTAGCAGAAGGAGACTGTTCATTAGGGAAGTCATAACAAATGTTGGAAGCTAAAAATTTGACATTTAACGGATGGTGGACGCATGGAGAACATTGTTGAGTAATAGTTGATCAGTTATCATCATACTGTTTTATTTATACCTGGTCACTGGTTAAGATGTTTTGTTCTGTAACATTATAATATAGAGACCCTTAAGTTATTTGCACGATAACCTATCAATTTATCTATCAGAACTGAGTGTTGAAGAGATTTAAACTCTGTTGCAATCATTAATATCTTATTTTAAGTTACTGCACAAAAAATATGTTTATAAAAACATTAGGTATAGTTTCCGAAGTTCCAACGGGAAGCCTTAATCAATGGAGTTCAGATATGTCATTGATGAAACAAAATATGGGCAAAATAGCCAGTAGACAGGAATTGTGTACAGTTTCAGAGGTTTGGAGGTTTTTCCCTCTTCATGAAAATGAAAGGTTTTGGGTTCGACCTTTGGTGGGTTATAGATTCGTATTCCTGAGAATTTCCAAGTTTTCAATGATTTTTTCAACCAAAGTCAGTCAGTGTTATGAAAAGCCAAACTGAACAATCTTCAAAGTATCTCACATTAACAAATTTCGTTTAAATTCTTTGATTTTATTTGGGTTATTTTGCTTATGATTAAAAACTAACTTTGAATTATGCAAAACCACTTATCACATTTTGATAAGTCTAAATCGGATGACATGAAATTTTTAATTCAGTTACTAAGCTATTATACACCCAGTGAATTGTGAATCATAGTATCAAATTACATTATTGATTAGAGCAAAGCATATAGTAAATTATGATGGTGTCATTATATATATTGATAAGAAGAACAACTCACTTTAACATATGGTAGAAATAATTTTCCAGGAATTGTTACTGGACCTGTTGCACCACTGACAACATGACCGTTTGGTCCAACGTAAACATGGATTTTTCTAGATTGTAATGAATTCTTTTTGTTTATTTCAAGTGCAATAAGACGTTCTGACTGAGGGCGTATTTTGAAATCGTAACACTGTAAATCTAAATTAGAATTAACTAATAATAAAACAAAAAGTAAAATTTAGTAAAATGAACTATTTGAATATAAATAATCTATGAATGTTAATAATCTGAAATGTCATTTTACGAAGAGAATATTAATGTTATCAAGTGCCGAAAACAACCGATTGATTTCCTTAAATATCCTTTTAATACAATCAATGCTCGATAAATTTCCAATTTTTCTAATAAAACTAATGGTTTAGAGTTATTGTATAATTAAATATAGACTTTTTCAAGAAGCCATATGAAACTTTGAAAACTATGAAAATAAGGAATGTCATTTAATATTCATCATCTAATCAGTAGAATACAATCAGAATATCATACAGGTTGGAACCTATAACTTTTATATCTCACCTATACGAATCATCATGTTTAGTGATTCAAAATATGACTATAATATGGACGAACAATTGCATGTACTCATGAAATTATTCTTCCATATAATTTCCGTATAACACCTTTAGGCAAATACCGTCTATGTGACAGCGATACTGAGAAGCTCAATACAATTTGAGTTGAATGAATTTATTTTATACACTTTCGTATGCATACATATTATTTAGTTTGTCCAAAGACTTGGATGAGCCTTGTAGGCTCGAATGACGCTGTCTGTAACATAAGTTAATTAATGTAAAGAAATTTAAATTTACGTGAGATGTTTTATTTGCTTTTCATTTTCCGTTATTAGTGAATAATAATGATAAACTTTTGCGACCAGGTTTTTATTGAGAGAGATTGTCACTATCTATTTGATGACAGACAGTTACAACTCAGAACTTCGTACGTAAGTACATCAGTTCAGGTTGCCATACCCCATCAGCACAGAGACGCAACTGTCAGTTCAAATCCATGAGTGATCTATAACGACTAAAATATTCGTTCAGTTCCCCCTACACTATATGGCTGTGGCGAAAAATAAGCATGAAGGGCGACCATAGAAAAGCCGTAACCACACAAGAGAAGAAAATCTCTCTTATCTTATTCAGCCTTTTTTCTTAAATAGACTATCCATTTTCTTTTACACGGTCAATAATTTCTGTCTCAATATTGAATTGAATTTGTTGAGGTTTTAGATAGCTGGGGTCAATCGACGAAATTCTCTTGATTCAGACATATTGTTTGTTGAGAATTTCGATAACAAAAAATAAAGAAAATTCAGTAGATCGTGGAGAAAATTTGGATGATGGTAGTGGTGTTTCGTTCTCTGACCTGGATGTTTTGGTTGTGGAGCTTTCATTGTTCTTATGAAGAACATCATCAGCACAAACTTCAGATAGAAGTAAAGTACCGAAATCTTCAACAGAAGCGAAATCAAGTACATGAACCAGTAAGCGGGTCATCCTACTGTGCATAAAAGACATATCGGAACATACAGCACGACTACTGAAACATTTGGAATAGGTGTGACAGGTAAACCAACAGCATCACTTCAATCAATCCTATGTAGACCAAAGGACAAAATGACAAAGGAAGAAAAACCAAAGATCATTTACAAAATAAATTACTCAGACCGTGAAAAACACTGCATAGGATAGAGTGGACGGCCTCTTCAGCTTCCTTTACGTGATCACTAATTAGCAGTTAAACGCTACTACATTTCTTCGCTCATATCAATACACACGGACAAATATGGACACACGTTTGATTGAAACAATGTGGGAAAACTGGATAGGGGGAGGACAAAGAACACTAGGGAATTTTTAGAGACTAGGCACTCAGATTAATCAGCAATCAAACAGTTTATCAACCAGTCAGAAAAATCATAGATGACATAGGATCAAGAAACAGATCAAAAGGGGGATACAATCAAAACAAAGGTGCAAACAACGAGAGGTTTAAGGTAAACAGTAATCATTCAAGAACAAGGTTAACAGAACAAGCTACGGGTCAAACGTGGGGAAATTCGAATACTTCACTTCTATCTGAAGTTTGTTCTGATGATGTTGTTCAGAAGAACAATGAAAGATCCACAACCAAAACATCCAGATTAGAGAACGAAACACCATCACGAAATTCTTAAGGCGTGAAAGATGTCACTGAATACTACCAAATCATCGGACTGTGAATGGTACTGTAAGGATCAATCAGCAGTGAGAATGAAACCTACTTTAAAATACTTCACTTTCAACTAAATTCCAAGGTGTTCTTGAATTCATTATTCTGGTGACCATTTATAATCTGTAAAACTAATTAAGAACGTCTCTGTATTCATTGCAGATTGACTGAATTTAAATTACTGTAATCACTTAGGTATTTGATTTCTGTTAGACAGTGAGACTGAATGAAATTATGGACAAGTCTTAGCAATAAACATTGGTTCTGCAATTATGTCACAGATCTGTCATTTTTATAAAATATTTATTTACTATCACAATAAATGTGTATCATAGGTGATCAGGATACCCTATTTAAGTAATAACGAAAGTAAAAACAGATTTCAAGAAAGAATTAACACTAAAATTTTCCCTTTTATCAAATCTTAGGCAACTGCTGCGTATTCCTAACATTACTATCGGAACTAAGGATAGAAACCAGGATCCTCAAATTTCTCAGTATGTTACTTTCATACATGATATATAAAGGAAGAAACTGCCATAGATTCTTCTTGACTTTAAATAGTTATTTTGACGTCTCTTTAATAATAATGTCAGTGAGGCATTTTGTATTCTAAGACCGATATAACTACTACCTATAGAATTAGAGGTCAGTGGAACAAGTATATTTGCGATAAGTTACAAACTCCATTTATTTAAATTAAAGCTTAAGATCCGAGCTTATTCTGTCTTTGATAATTTTTGCACTGCTAGCTGTTATCGATTGCTGCTATTAGTTAATACGATGGTATTTTATACTGTTAGCCTACAATTAGTCTGATTCTTAGTTCTTTATAATTTTCACCTTGGTTTGTTGTTCTTATATTCCCCTTATTTTTAGACTGGAAAAAAAAATATACTAACGACTTTTAACTGAAAAACAATAGCTGATTTCAAGTAGTCACTTTTTTAAGGTTATTTTCCAAATGACCATTAAAATAGTATTTGTAAAATAAAAAAAATTTGCGTTTATTTCTTCTGACTTTAAATACTTCTAACATAGTTCACTACTCAAACTAGTATAGTGAGCTTTAATCTTGATCGTGTGATTATATGAAAATTCTGTCGATGACAATTAATCAGATTGTTTTTATGTATCATTCTGAACACTAAAAGTTCTTCAAATTTATTATTTCTTACATCTTATTCAGGTGTTGTAAAGTTAAGAAGAGAATACAATCCATTAGTAATGTACAACACAAAGGGATTCATAAATTCAACCAAGTCAAAGAATATTCATATATTCATTTGTTCACAAACAGTATACATTGTATATATTAGCTACTGAATATACCCGAACAGTCGTAAAATAATTATAGTGATACATTTTGGATTTTAGTCTTGTCTATTTCTAGCTTTCATTACCAGTTTACCTTGATATCAAGTTAATGCTGTAAACATTGTTAAATGCTCTAATTCTCAAATGTTAGTGTATTCTGTTTTTATGCTGAGTAGTCCTCTCTTGCTATTCTCACCTAACCTCTTTCACATACATTTCCTTTGAAAACCATAGGCAACTATTCACCATGGGACTAGACACAAAACCGTGTTTAAAGTCAACAGGGATCAGCTGATTCTAATCATCAAGTGCTGGACGACGAATATGTGATATTGGTAAACTTGAAACTTCGATGATATAGTAATTCAAAGTTTCTTATTTTCATTGATATTTCCCTGAACCGAATATAGTTTCTTTTTCTATCGAAAATTTCACTAGAAACAAGGAAGAAAGCTGTACGACTTACTTTTTAAATGTAGACCATCTATATCATCTAAACACATTGACAGCCATGGATTTTCTACACTTGTGAATGAACGAATACATTTTGTACTTTTATTACATTTATTTATGTTTGCTGTTGATTTTAAATTATTGGTTAAAGCATTAGAATATTCTATATTTTGATTTGATATAGATCGTTTATAACTATTTAATCGATCGTCTGAACCAAATTGTTGACGCAAAGAAGGCCTTGATAATTTTGAACGTCGTGAACCATCTAGTCCATATGACACATTAAAAACTATGATTGAGAAAAATAAATATTTAAGAGAGGACATCGTTAATCATAATTAAATTGATTTGATGTTTTAAAAAAATGTTGGATTCATTTCCTATTGTATGTGATCATTTTTAAGTGAGAAAGAATAGGATTTTGGAGATTTGCTCAGGATTCTGGAGCGCATTCGTTTGGAATCAGAGTTTCCTAACTCTTCCGTGCCCACAGTGGGACAGTTCAGATTCATAAAGTTTTGCCCTTGAAGACTTATCGCTCATCGATTCTCTAGTCAACTAATCAAACATTGGTGGACTCTGATCGAATAGTTGTAGAGATTTTAAATAAGTTTGCTTTACTTAATAAACAGGAATTATGATTGTGAAATATGGTGATTTTAGCAACAATTATTTGTTTTGCATAAATTAAACTTATGGATCCAGAGAAGTATTAAAAGTTATAATAGGAGGTAATATCTTAGATTACTGTAAGTGGTCAAAGACAATCATTTCGTAATGTATGTTATTCTGTCTTTAAAGTAAACAGACCCAAACTGTACTGTAAAAAGTTTTGAAATATATGCGGATCATCAAGTCTAATAAATCAACCAGTCCCAAGTTGGGTGGTGCGGAATGATATTTTCAAATTATGTTCCCTATAATCACCCTCACTACATCGATCGGCATTTTGTATGCTAATCGGAAATTCAATTCACTTATTTTAGTGTATTTTTTTGTTAGGATTGTAAATTATTATTCAACGTAATTGTTCCATTCTCTATAAAAACTCCTAAATTTCCCACTGGAAATACAGACTTGAATAACAAAAACTTAGGTCAAGTGCTATGTGTACGCCTCTCGGATATGTTAATGACGTCTTTCATAAAAAGTATGAAGTAATCTCAGTATAAGATACTGTTACTGTATAGTTATTCTAATGATTTAAAAATAAATTACTGGTGTTTGTAATCTTAAAAAAATGATAGTAAATGTCACTGAAGAACGCATATGATTTCGTTGAATAAACATGAGATATTGATTATTGCAAAAAAATTTCAGCATTATATATATATCCAGTATTGCGAGAAATTCATTTAACTTGCAATCATTAATCATATATATATAGCAATTGTATGTCAATAATCAATATCTACCATTCCAATTACAGAAACGCTATACTAACTCAGTTTCAGCAACAATTTTTTCCATACAACTTATGTAAATATGTAAGTAAGTGAGTAAACCATCATTTTTTAAAGTGCATTGAAAGAGCAATAAGTTGACAACAAATGACAAGTTTTTTTGAGTTTTCCAGTATTTAATATAGCAAAGCAGTTAGCTCAACCGTTGGATCAGGCCTTTATTTACTATAATTAATCGGCCCTTTTTTCGTAGCAAATACTTCACATATGTATACTAAAGAGTGAAAAACATTTTTCGAGCTATGCTACTAGAAAGTACAAAACTATCTTTCAAACATTTGAGCTACTTATGAGTAGGCAAATAAATATTTCGCGCATAAATACATTTTAAAGACATGTAAAGTACAGACTACTTTATATGTAGACTGTTGAATGTTTATAATAGAAAGAAAGGTAGTAAATAAGATCTCAGAAAAAATGGTACAACCCTGGATGATTCCTGTTTTTCACTAAATTTCTTACTACTGTAACTATTTGATTTTGTTTGCTAAAATTTTTAAACAGGAACATAATGGAAACATAATGAGGTTACTTGAAAAGTCAATAATTAATTTTCTTGTCTATAATTATAGTTGTAATAATGTCGTTGGAGTTAGCTAATGGAGACAAGGTCAAAGCCATCTTAAATTTAAATAGTAAATTGGTTTGAAAGTTATATAGCAAGAAACATTTTATTCATACTCCTTAGGACTAGTCACTCATGTTTCTTTGTTATCTGGTTTAGTATGCAGATAATTACGTTTTAGTAAGGGAGTAAAAATGTTTCTCTATATATGATTTCTTGCTGACAAGTTTCAAACGAGCTGTTCCATTTTCGTGAATATGCTTTCATATTTTTGAATTATACGAGCCCAATTGTTATTATCATTGGGATCTTCAATGCCTTCTTATAGATGAGGGTCGGGAGAGACTACTCGCTCTCTCTATATGCTCTCATTAGGCAACGCGTATGTATGTCGTCATTGCCAAGGAAGTGCTACTCACTGCCTTTTAGTGGGAGGAATCTTGTCTACGAAATTGAAAAAACAGACGCGAATATCCAAACCAACGGTGCGCATGGACTCCCGGATTATGGTGGGCCCTTGAGACTGTTCCTTATGGACTGGACCTGTGTGTTAAAGGAGGCCCCTTATGAGAACCATCTGTTTCACTTTGGGCACTCGGGTAGTATTTCAGTCCGTACACAAATTTAACGATTTTTGTTGCACATATGTATTTAGATGCTTAAATAATAAGAAATTCGAAACAATTTCTTTTCAAGTTTCATATGTATATGATGAAGTGTATGTAACTGAAAATATTTTTCTTGTGATGTCACAGCCAATATATTTTACCTATGTTCACTTAGATGCTCATATTATTTTTGCTATGGTATCTCAAAAAAATAATTGAACCCATTCTTGATCAACGAGCTTAAAAAATATTTTGTCAGCTATTGTTTATATACAATTCAAATTATTCATAAAATTAGTGAAAACAAAAAATGTTCCAAAAAAAATAATTCTCACCTTCTCCAACATTTTTATTTGATACTCCATTAACTGACTCAATCAGTTGACAGTCGATTCGATTGGAATCAGTTACACGCATAGGCGCACCAGTCAGATAACTGTAGAAAATGATTTTTGTGTCTGGTTTAAACTTCCATTTTTCAACTTGCCACTGTGTAAAAAACAGTGTGGGGAACAAATAAATGAACGAATCGGCAAATATATGTAAAAAGAATAATTTTAAAAGCAAAGATGATTGTTTACTAATGTAATTAGTAGCTGAAGGAAAAAAATAATTTCGAAAACGTTTACTATCTGTTATCACCTTAAAAACACTTTTTTTTAAAGTTGATAACTTATAACGGTTTATGAAATCGAATATAAGACGTCCAGTTACAGTGATATTGAATAGTTGTCATTCATTCATAGTATTTTTATGATAAGCTCCAGCTGTCCTGTGTCTAATATTCAAGACTGAATTTTATCCAGTATTCGTTGGAACATGTGGATCCTGAGGGTATCACCTTGATATAGAGATTGTCACAATTCTTATTTATGTGCATATCATTAGCGTCAAAGTGAAAAACAATTTATTCATAGTAAGATTTTTTTGAATAAGACTTCTGGTTTCATATCTCATGGGATGTTTAGGTTCATGATTAGCTGTTCTTGATAGATTCTATATATATATTCATTATTTTGCCACACATACTACTGAACATACTAATATAGTAGCATACTAGGTGATTCTAAACACCGAAGTCGTTAACCTGAAATTGTAAAGAGTTAGGTAAAATGACTTTCAACTTCCAAACAACAAATGTATTTCATTCTGGCATGAGTTATCAATTATTTCAGTTTGTTCAGCACTATAAATTCATATTTTATCAGAAAGGAATATTGCAGCCATTTGGATAACCTATTATAAGGTGCTTTTCATTAAGGCAATTTTTCATTTCTTGCATAAAAAATATCCACCAGTGACTTCCTTTCAGATTGATTTCCGAAAGTTTTAACAGAAAGCTATGGTCTATGGACTGATCACGGAAATAAAGTATTTCCCTATCATTGACAGTGAAGAAGTTTTGTCTTTGAAAAGGTTGGTTTTTAGCTACCAATCCAGGCGTTATATAGTTTTTTTCTCACCAAAAAATCTGAAAACATGCAATGTTCACTGACTCTGAATGTTCTTACCATAGATGTGTGTTTGTGTGGAAAATGCAGGCCGAACAATATGAAATATCCACAGACTTAACTAAGAACTTTGTGATGCTTACTGTATTTCCGCTGCCATTCATTTTAGGTCAGAAAATGGCGCTTAAAAGTGTTTTACATCATAAATATTGTTGATAATTTTTAATCATTTCAAATATTTAGTCAGAATTTAGGGAGATCGAAAAATGTCAGAATAATATCAACCTTTCAGAATAGTCTAGACTGTGATAATCCGTATACTAGTATTTCAATTTATTTTGTTTACAACAATTTTTCTAACTATTCGAACGTGATTTCATCAAGAAACAAAAATAATTACAAGGAGAACAAAACGGTGTAGAATATTATTCTTAAGGCTATTCAAAAGCTCTAAACACAACTAGATGTGAAATTTCATCTCTTTCTTGGTGTAATTACGTTTTATTATTTCGTTGTAAAACTGCAAGTAACTTAATAGCCTTCATATGACGTAAAAGTTACAGTTTCACAGAAGTACTTTTAGTTGAATGGATATTGATGATCGGAAATAATATTCTGCCTAGATCCTTTGACAAAATAGTTTGTGCATTAGACTGAAATTATAGATCAGTACATAATCAGGTTTTTTTGTCTTTATGAGAGTCAGTATTTTGCTAAATTTTTGTAATACACAATAATCAAGGTTGAAAATTACAATCCACATTAATGGATTTTGAATGTCGATTTGTCAAAGTAATGCAAACATCTTATGAAGTAAAAAAGAACAATAAATGAAATAGCTCAAAATTTTTGTTTGTAATTTTTTTTTCAATTTGACATCATCTTACAAGTAGTTGTTCTTTTTGGTTCGCCAAAATTGTTTCAATCAAATCAATGGTAAGTACTCCATTTCCACTAGCTGGAATTAATTTAATCGGTAAAGAATTCATTCCAAATTTTGTTGTTAACCATTGAAAACAAGGAAAAATATAAATTCCACTTATTTCATTACAAATATTCTTAGAATTGTCTGTATGTGTCAGAAAAAATTTATTGATATTTGAAAACGATTGAGTTGATGATAAATTCGTAGATGAATTGACTGATAATTGTTGAATAATCACATATTCTAAATACCAGTCATTGTTAGATGAAAGATTCTCGTCATTTTCATGATTATCTAATTCTAACCATATAGTAAGAGATTTTAATCGACCAAGAAATACAGCTTCCACATTGAATAAACTAGTCTAAAGTAGAATAGAAAAGAAATCATAAAAATAATGAAAACAAAATTTACAAAATAAATCATTGAAATGAATTCATCAAACTGGTGTATTGATATTGTAGTGTCGTATACCGCCTTCGCCTCACCTCCTCGCAGCATCCCCAGCAACGCCAACTCCGCCCCGGGCCCCCACCAGCTCCATCGTGGCCCCAAACTCCTCCAGGAAGCTGCGCAAATCTCCGTCCTCCAACTACTCCGGCCACGGGAGCTCCTTCCTCCGAGCAGGCGGCGACACCAAATGTAGTGAAGGAGAACACACGTGGGGCAACCGGATTGTATTTAACGAAAATTACAGAGTTACTCAGTAAAATTGGAAAACCATATCGTAAATCGTTCATTTGCAAAATATCAGTTCATCATATCGAACTGGACTGCTCCTGTTGCAAAACATCAATCCATTGTCACTATTCATGCGTTTGATACAAATTCCATTGTTTTCTAACTCTTTCTTTCTTGATCTTCCCCCCGTATTCTGCTACCAGACATTACGTTGACACTCACGTTATATACTACTTATAAGTAGCTCACACCACAATATCACATGACAAAATACCAATCACCCATTAGAATTAGGTTAGCACCACAAATCGTGAGTCAACTTTTAATCCTCATTGATCCACAATTTGATAGCTTCTTTCTCTGTTCGGAAGTTTGTAGTCAAGCTGAATAAAATTTTCGTTATATTCCAAGTAGGCATAGTTTATATACCAAACATACCAGACCACATCACACGATAAAATGAGGAAATATATATTAATACATGAGGAATAGATTGAAGCCTGTGAATGATAAACTGGCAATAGGATTAAATAATCAATCACAAGACAGTATTTATTGAGTTAATCAAAAGTTTATAATAAAATCTATGTAAATATGTGATAATCTCGTTATTTAATTATTATACCACCAAAAATGTTTACAATAATAATAATAATATTCCGTAAGTTGATTCTGGAAGTTATCAATCCTCTAATCTTCCTCTTGATCTAGCAAAAACATAAATTACTTGATCAAGTGAGTTATTTGCATAATAACAAATTTGTCATTGGATTATAATAGTAATCTAGTCTATTGTGCAAAATTTAATGATTTTATTTAGGACTTAACCAATCATGGCTTTTACCATTGGGTTACGTAGTTGAGGTTATATATTGATGCCAAATGTTTCTTGGTGCTGTACATCTTTATCTATGTCAAGAAGTCATAAAAACTGTATTGAAAATAAACAGATCTAAAGATTTCACACCTTGCTTACAATAAATTTATGTTCCATGACATTAAGCAGACCTTTGATCCTGAGTTTAGAACATCAGTTGCTGAAAATATGTTCGATTATACATTAAAAAAATTATTGTTTATAAAAGCATTATCATATCGTACAGGACGTTGATTAGTAAATGTTCGGATATGATGTACCACAGAATCTGAGATTAGCCAGATAACCACTGAAAACCTGTTATCAATGGTTGCCTATATCATTACTGTTTACAATGCATTAGCGATATACATCTAAGAACACTCTAGTTTCACAATGAATACGAAACTATTATTTATTTGTGATAGGTTTATAAAAAAATAGAACGCATATAATATGTTACCGTGAGACCTTTACACTAGTTTCTCATATAATTCATTAAACTTGTTAAGTTGTTTTGCCTTATTTTATGGAAACTTGGCGCCTAATGTATACAGGAGACAGTTTGTAACAATGTTATGTTTTTTTCATAATTATACATTTTTGTTTTATGTTGAATTTATAATTTAATTGCATAATAAGCTTGAGAAATAGACAATATATCAGCAACAACATGTTGCAAAAACATTTTATACTGAACAGTTGTATAATTAATGAAGTTAAATGAAGCATTTTCCTAATGAATATATTTTAATTAAATTCATTAAAGTAATCTAAACAAAAAACCTATTCCCATTTGAATTTGATAAAAACCAAGAATCGATAAGTTTTTCTGATTCGTTCTTTATTTAGGTTTACTCATGGTTGCTACGATATTTTAAGACAATTCGATAAAAATGATACAGGAACACAAAATCATCCTTGATGTAAGATGATCTTTAAGAATAGAATGCTGTATGTTATTAGAAAAATAATGTTTGTTACAATAGTTATTACATACTTTCCCTCTTGAAAATGCATTAGTTGTAGACATTTCTTCATTCCATAAAATCCTCGTACCTGTGTCACCACGATCTCCTTGTATTAGGATATTTACTTTGATAGTATTGTTCATGCCTGAATTCCAAAGGTTACCAGTTTTTGTTATTATTTGATATTGAATTACTGATTATAAAATGGACAAGTCGAAAAAAAGTTTGGGAATAATCAATGTAAAATCAATACGCCATTTGTTAGCAGATAACTTTGCATTAAACAACTGTATATTTAGGAGTGATTTAAATTACTAAGATAGTTGAATTTGGAGAAGTTTATTTTCAGTACTTTTAAACTCATAACTTAGATGAACACTGCGTAAGTTAGCAACCGTATACACTCTAATTAAATGATAGATTCTGAATGGAGTTGATTAGTGTGTATCATTACGTTTACTTTTTATAAAAAAGTAGCTCATTATATTATTATTTTTAAAGTTTCCAAGCATCAGATTTATTATATCTATGCCTTACTAGACAACTGTTAATGATAGACAAAATGAAAAGGTATTAAGTTAATCCTTGTGCATCTTGGAAAATATGCGGAAATGTGTCCTAACTTCATTGGTGAAAAATTCCATGTGTTCATTACTTTATACACAGTCGTTAATCTTGTTTCCACATTCTTGCATAACTTTGGTGCAAAAAAACAAATAGCATCCTATTGTACTCTTAACTTCATTATTGTGATCTATCGTATTTCAAATCAAATAATATTAGAATATTTGCTTTAACCTTTAGGAAGCATATCACCAAGTGTGTGAAGAATGTACCCCAAATAGGCGTAAATACATCGAGTTCAGAGAATCGAAATCGTCTAGGAGTATTTGAAATCATGAATCGATCAAATTTAGACCGCCTTGAGAAACCTGGAAGCACTGGACGGCCGTTTCTTCCTGGTTTAGGACCCATCAGCACTGCGCACACAAGACTCCTGCACCCTCAGGATTCGTGCCCAGGACCTTCGCTCTTGTGCGCGAACGCCTAACTCTTGGATCACTGAGCCGGTATCCAACGGTGTTAATGTCTAACTTCGATCAATTCACAGAGTTGCGCGACCTCATACACTATTTTCGGTAGTTACTATTTACACCCGAACAGGTTGAACTCCACTGGTCACGACTTCCCGCTAGAACTCGGAAAAGATTCCTCACAGAGCTAGTCACTAATGAGCACAGGTAATTGCATCACGGGTTGTGAAGATTGTTAAGTTACACATTTTAAATCATGAAATAAGTTTAGATGTTCTATTGTTACTGCATTAGGTATAATTGACTTAAACAATATAACCGAAAAATGAGATTAAATCAAATAGGAAGGTAGCAATGCAAAATCATACATTAACATATAATGGAAAAGCAAAAACATTCGTTAGAATGACCAGTGTGTAAGTTTAACTAATATTACATAAATAGCTACTTACATCTGAAAAGTAGTATGATGTGAGACAGAAAATGATAGGGCTTATTTATTTGATCTAGATAGAATAGTAATTGATCCTGTTTACTAACCATTAAAATTGGGGACAAAAGTCTCATTATATATTATATACAACTGATACTGCCATTTACTATTTAGTCTTACGGTTCAGCTTACCAGGAGCTCTTTCCTCTTGTTGAAATACTGTTGTGATATCCAATGGATATACTTTTAATATTCTTCCAAATCTTGGCAATCGATCGCGTAATTGAGTTCCAGGTGCAGCAATTTCACGTACCAAACTACCATCACCTTTAAAGCGCGATAACCACTTCATACATGGAAATGAAAGTTCATATGATGGTATAGATGCTGATGATAGATTACTCTCTTCTTCTGTATTTAACAGTCTGGATAAACAGGAAGAATTTCGTATATTGAATTTGAGAGAATTTTTGGTTATATTAGGCAGATTTTGTGTCAGTCTCAAATATATTTCTTCTGGTAACCATTCAGGATAAGTACCAAATCCATCGTGGCTTATACGTATTTTACTGATTTCCATAAAATCATTTAACGGTATCTAGAAGAATAATAAAAAGAATAAGGCTAGATGTTAATTTCTACGTAAGAAATTTCGACTATAAACTGACATCCGTAACAACATGATTGGGAATCACTCATTCTCAGAACACCATATTGAAGCGCTCAAACTTAGTTAGTCAATGGAGAAAACAGTTGTAGAATAAAAGAACTATCTTGTACTGGCCTTGATATTAATTGTAATTGATCTCTTGGATTAGTGTGGTGAACACTGTCACCATCCAGAAAAGCTGAATTGATGACAAAAAACACGTGTATGTTTTTACCAAGCCGAAACCATTTTCACACAAACGGAATCATTGTATAAACTAGAACAACATGAATATAAAGAGAAGAGATTCGCTGTGGAGTGAACACCACTAATATGTTGTACTATTGTATTATTGACTAAATTTAGACAACCGGCGAAAATCAGGGATCAATAGATATATGTTTTTGTCGTAGTATAGGACTGCTTCTCAGTGATCATATACTATTCTAATGTATCTGATCCAGAACTTAGACAAGGACTAACATTTATTGGAAAATACTGATGATGGAAGCCAATAATGTTAACGCCCAAATATTTTGAAATAATAATAACCTTCACTTCATCTTATTTTACGATAAGTATATACTTATATTATTGTTAGGTTCGTCACTAGGTAGGCTTAAAACTATTACGAGTTCACCCTAGTCGATAAACTAGAACGAGACAATGAACCAGCGTCCAGGTAGGCTATCTCTATGCGTTGACTCGAAACGGCTGAAGAGAAGTCTTGATACAGCGTAGAAAGTATATTCTACAAACACCTAGCAAGCACAATGCTATCAAGCACACAAATCTCGTTTATTTAGACATCATAGAAACGTCCTTTGGACAATCACAAAAATAACCCACTAAAATACACAGCAACCAGTAACAGCCAAGGAGTTTCCTGGTGGGAAATGAAATCTCAAGGTCAACTGATCAGCCCATTCTTGCGAACGTGAAATAAGACATTTATCAAGCGAGTTCTGGGGATATAACGTCCCCAACAATTATCTACAACTTCACACAACACTTTCCAAGGATATTTTATTTTGCATAATTAATATGAGTTTTTAAATTTAACAATATGTACATCAATTAAAAATGTAAAATATGTATAAAACAACATTCTTCAGCCAATCGTTACTGAATATAATATGAACGAATGAAATGAAAGAATATTTCATAACGTCTGATGAAACTCAATAATCTACAAAACCCTACACTGACAGTGAGTATCAGTCTGTCAGGGGAAGAGTTATTTGATTCGGTAAGTATCAGAAGTGTTCATTCGGAGTAGATTACTAATAGTACCTTCATATACGCAGATAAATTGTTATTGATTGCCTTAATTTCATAGACAGCTTCCATTTCGATTGAACAATATTATGAAACTTTAGGTTTGGACTTATTGATCAGCTGAATCATTTTCTTTTGAGTTCATTTAGTGGACTGCAGATGTGAATAATTTTCGTATCACATATTCAATATACTAGGAGTGCTTAATGAGCTTTAAAGAAATTTGTTACAATTAACTAATAAGTGTAATATAGCCTTCATTATCGAATCGAAATAGTGCAAGTGTGTACTTCAGATTTTTTTCTCAAACATTCCTGTCAAAGTGGTTAATAGACTTTCCTGAATGTAAATATTTTATTTAATGCATAATGATTTGATGATAAAAATATTTTGGTTATATACAATCGTTGCGATCCGGTATAAGCTGTTTTCCAACCAGCTGACTTTTAACTACAAGAAATTTTTTATTTATGCGGAAGCTGTTGCGACACTGTTGCGAGTTTTTACCACACTTATTGGTCCATCCAATTAAGAACCAGATGTACACAAATGATATCAAGTAAACAGAAGTTGAGAACTATTTACAATATTGAATAGATTCATAATGTAGAGGATGCTTCAAGTTGTGTCTTTCCTCACTCTTCGACCACCAAGTCTGACTACATACATCAGAAATTAAATGCTCCCGTATTTTTCTAACACTCTTTGTGTAGTAATGTGATTGACTCATTACATATCAACCAAATAATAGTATCAAGCATCAGTCTACTGAATTGAATAAACAAGACCGGAGAGATGTGAGAACGTTGATAGAAAGGGTACTTTTACTGATAAACACTTAGTAGCGGACAAATTCCCAGCATGAAAACATGTCTTATCCACATGATCAAAGCATCAGTTAAAACTCAATCATAGTAAAAAGTAAAATAATGTTTCAGCAAAGTACTAGTGTTAACTTCTCTAAACAAGTTAAGTGAAAAAGTTTTGACATTCAGTTCACCTAGTTGAAGGACCATATTCAGTTAGTGCAACTTTGAAATATTAAAGTTGTGACATTTAAGAACAAGTCATGTGAGCAATCATATATCTGTGATATCCTAATAAGTGTAGAAACTAAAATCCCTATTGTGAAATGGTTTAGTACCAAACACTTCTTCAGAGTAGATAAATGAATCATAAATATCTCATAACTATGAGTAACATTCCATCCAATGTTTAATTTATTTGAAATGATCAAATCTGGCCTTGAAAAATTAATTTACAGCTTTTAAACTTATTACACTAGTGAAATTCGTATACAATTAATAATTTTTCAAGTATTAATAGTTCATTATTCACATCAAATTTAAGAAACAAAACTTATTCATCTCAAAGCAACTAAACACAGTGTTCACAACTCTTTTCTTTTTCAAAATATACGAAAACTAATATATTAGTTCATAATTTAAAAGATATACAACAAATCAATCGGTAGTAAATGTAAAATATTATTCCACTTAAGTGAGAAATACACCATGATATGGAATCATCATGATACATGTAAATAATCGCATTAGGAAGATAATAGGCTTACAGCTAGTTAGCAGTTAAATTGATTCTGTTTTCTATCAGACTTACTTCAAAGTAATCAATATTTCCTGGATAAAATGGTCCCAGATGTGTAGTACTTGTTGCGTTCGATTCGTTTAGTTCATTGTCTTGTTCAACTTGTAGATTTCCATCATCTGAACTTAATGTACATACATATGCTGATCTAAGTAGTATAGGTTGAGTTGATTGATATCTATTACAAAGTGTAATTGTTGGATTTGCTGTACAAACAGTTGAATATATTTCATCTGTTTGTGGATCATTCTGACCGGATTTGATAAATACCTGGCAGACTGAATAAAATAATGAAGTTTCCTTGAATAACCTTTAGACTATATTATATTCATTATAGTACTATGAAAAAACAAAGTTGACGGATAAGTAAGCTCATAAACAATAGAATTTCTTAATGTGGACATTTGATTGTGATTGAGTCATCTTACACATTCAATGAAGAATGGAAATATAAGTAACAGAGTTATAAGAGGCAGGTTGAAAACTATCAGGGTTTCTAAGTAATCCCAAGAGTATTGATCACAGTTGAGATGATGTGCCAAAAAGAGAATAAGGCACTTGACACTAATTCATTGGTATTCATAGTTAATTAGGTTATAAAAACTACAGATCTAAATTATTTTCAAGTAACTGAATACTTTTTGAAAAATATTTCGTGTTTTGTTCGGTAAATGGCACGTATGATTAATTTCCAACCGTCCTAGAACTACAGATGATTTGATAAGAGTTTAATATTTTAATAGCTAATTCATAAATAAAAGGATAAGTAAATTGCAGAGATTTCTGATAGCCGCAACAGAAATAAAGTATTAATTTCTTCAGTCTCTTACACTTATGGTTTCGATACTTCTTTTTTCTTTTATCAATTCTTGTTGAAACACTGTATTGTTCACTTTGTTTGTAGCTTATTGTATGAGCATGAAAGCTTTGCAAATAAGCCTATGAACAATTGATTAACGTCACACTACTTGATTGAGACAAATATAGAATACATTTGATGTTTTATTTGGACGGTAACATTTCAGAAATAAATTTGCTGAATAACTGAATAGGATTGCGACATTTGCTTTCAGGTTTGACAAAAATTTAAAACCCAACTATTTTCTTTGTTCATTACAAATTCAATCAGTTGATGGAAAATCTGGTATTTCCTGACGAGCTGAAGAGATGTTATTTTGAAACAATCTTTTTTTCACCTGATACAATCAAAAAGTTAAATGTAACGACAAAAAATCTGACTCAAAAGTGGATTGATCGGTTGAAGTAGGTGGTTGAACAATGATGGAAGTTATTAATATGACTAATATCAGTAGTTAATTTTTGTATTTATCTTTTGTATTTATTTTTTGTATTTATCACCAAACCCAAAGCAGAATTTCATGACACGGTTGTTTAACAGTTAAGGAACTCGGCTTCCAGCTAATAAGTCTGGTAAAGTTTGGATAGCCATGTAGCCACCACCTGACGTCACAGAAGTGTTACTTCTCAAAGCTGTGTACAAAACCTGGTATTCTGTTAATATCGCGTCACCCTGTATGAATAAGAAACTGTTGATCGTAAATGGACTTCGAAAATTCAGTTTCATAAAGGTCATCGTCAATACACGTAATAGGTAACTGTATACCGATAAATATATGATAAATATCTGCTGTGTATTTCTTTATTAAAGAGAGGAAACAAAGTGAACTTAATCTTGGTTTATTTATCATAATACCAGACAAATAATCATGTTAAAAATACTACTATTTGAACACTGGATAATAATGTCTAATGGAAACAATTACAATAGTAATAAATACACTGGTTATACTCGTGTCATTTTCGACAAACAATAATAAGGAAAAAATGAAAACAAATAGAAAGCTGTTGAAATGATTGTAAATATTTTTCTTATTTATTAAACCTAACAACAATAACTTTCAGTACATAAATGTAGTAAAAGCCTAAAGAGGGCTTTCTGAAAGCACCATGCTCGAACTGAATAATTATCATAACAGTAGATGTTTACCAAAATATAAATATATACAGATACCTAGATCGAGTGACTGACAACACTTTTCTATTTTTTTCAGTTATCAATATCATATGAATGTCTACAAAGGTGTACTTGTACCCTGGTTAATATTAAATCTAAACGAGAAAACAAAATAGATTTATGTGGAAAAGTAAAAGTGGTGACAAATTTCAACGAAAAGGATGTTTTTTACATAGATGAATACAGTGATAAATTCTAGACATTTTTAATTACAATAAAATGAAATAAATTAATGGGAAGGAATAGATTCATCATCACTGTGAATAACTTTGTTAATTCATTTATTCATGCTTCATTATGATATAAAGATTATACTTTTAGGTTAAGCATACAGTTATGATAGAGTTTGAATTCTAATTTCTGAACAATAAACTTTTCGTTAATTTGACATAAAGAACAGTACGTTGCAGTCAAAAGCTGTGATACTTACTGGTGATAAACGATACAGCACGAAACAATAGATTAGGGGAACATTCTTATTCATGCATTTACTTTACTAAAATATTTTGATCAAGAAGTTTGCATTCAACCTTTTCAATAAGTATCTGAAGTATTGTGTCAAAGGTTGGAACAGCTAATAAAAATGTTAGTCTTACAGATTTTTGCACTAATTTAATCTCTATCGAATGTATGCTTTGCTTTCGTATGTTACTCAAAGATTTTCAGAATGGAAGATTACTCAAACTTTGAATATATATTTTAATATTAATCTTTTTTCTCTTGTGTGAGTATTACTGAATTAACTTAATATCAAAAAGTGCCTTGCTAACTCTAACGTTTGTTACAATAAAAAGACTTAAGGTCATAAAGACATATATAGTAGTTTTCGAATTGTTCATTAAAATTCAGACAAATCTTTAATTATATTTGACTGTTAGTGTTCCGATCAGATCTTTTGAATTGGATCGATCAAGTTGATCAGATTTTATGTGCATTGAATTTGTATTTATTCTAAGATTTAGTAGATAGTTAAAATTAAACTTACCGGTAAATCCATTAGTGAAGCCAAGACCTTTATTAAATTGTTCATAAGGTTGTTTCAAAGGTGATAAAACTGAACTGGTCGGTGATCTCGCTGGATTTCTTGTTCGACTTGAACTACGACTAAAGCATCTAGTTGTTAAATTTGTTTCATTCAATGGCCGAAAACGTTCAAATCCAGCGGCTACAAATTCATTTGGACCATCAAGTAAATCATTCAATGTTTCAATCTGAAATAACGAACACGTAATTGATTTCAAAGCGTTTAAATATTAATGAAAGTCTACTATAATTTCAATTTGAAAATGTGTACCACATTCTTACATAGTAGGAAGCTCATAATTCAAAAACTCATTTCGCCTTAATTGTGCATAATCTATAAAGTCTGAAATCACGGTGCAATCGGAAGAAACTTTAAATTTTAGGTTAAAAGATGTCAATTTATCAAAGCTGTTAAGAAATGATCTATTCCATTTAGATAAAAAGGAAGAACAAGTCGAATTCCCATAGTCTGTAAACACTGCTATCTATTTAGTTGAATTGTTCTATTCATTTTCGTTAAATAAACTTCGAAAATATACATTTATGTGTAACACTATGCTCATTTATCATTAAACATATTTTACGTGATATTATAATACTTAGACCATTGATTTAAAGAGATTGTTAGTGAGATGAACTTGGTAATTGTCGACTATACATCTCAGAATTCTATAATTATCATATTAAAAATTTTTTCACATTAAGATTTTTTCTGTTATTTAATGAATGATTCTTTAAAGGATGTTTCATGACGAAATAAAACAAGGAATGATAATTACCGTATAAACAATTTTTCAATGAGCCAAATAATCAATTTTTCTATGTCAATGAGAACCATTTATTCACTTACGTATTTTTTTAAAATTTTACTTAATCTTTCTGGTTATACACTGCGGCACTTTAAAACGACACACAACTACTCTGAATTTCTATTGTCCTCTTATCTAGCGTTAATTCTCATCTCAATAAATTTTATCAGCAATATGTACGATATAAATTACATTTTAATTACTCAGCATGAAAACACCATAGAAGGATGAGAAAATATTTTTAACTTTTTAAGAACTAAAGCTAAAATTAAAATGTAGTCTGTGATTATCGCTGTACATCAACAGATTTAAAAAACAGGAATTTCGTAAATAAATATTACTTTTAATGAAATAAAAATAATAATTCGTACAAATTAACCCGGGAACTTTGATCTCGCGTGCAAACGCTTAAATTATTGACCACTGAATTGGCAGCCAGAAGTGTTAAGTTCTTACTGCATCATCATTCATTGAGTTTGGTGAGTAAGTGGTTCATACCCGACATGATTAGACTCTGCTAGAACTCCAAAACTTACCTCTTGAAGGTGGTTACTAGAAGCGCATGGAAATTATCAGTAAAGGTTTTTGGAATGTATTTTATGTGTGTGATATGTTTGTTTGTACTCATAAACCGTTCAGTGATAGAAGGTCACGTAATATCGTGAATTAGTTGAAGTTTGATCTTGACACCGTTGAGAGACAGGCTCACTTGTTTAGAGGATAAGCGTTTGCATGTGAGACCAAAGATTCTAGGTTTGATTCTCGCCAGTAGGTTAGTGAATGCGCACTGCTGATGAGTCCTAGGTTATTAATGACGCTATAACGTTAATCGTTTTATGATTTAAATTAGTTTAAAATTTTTGGTACATCCCAACTGGTTGATGAATATTTAATTTTTGAATTCAAAATTATTCTTTAAGTGTTTGTGAATATACTGTACTAAGGTAGTAGCCTAGCTCATTGTTTTAGTCGATGAAATAAAACATACATTGGTATGTACCTGGATACGATATCTGTGAGATATCTGTGTAATTCAGTAATGAAATGAGTTACACTAAACAAGTTGACTGAATTTCAAGCGTTCACAGTTGATGTAAAATCATTTATGGAGATGAGGAAGTGTATCATTTCAAAAAAACGAAAATTAATTTGATATTATACAGTGGAATAAAGAAGCACATTTTAATTCGGCAACATTACAATATGATATTAAGTAATTTTATTTAGTGTGGAAATTGCAAGTTTAATTTTTTGAATGAGACTGTCAGAGAGAATATTGTGTGGAAGTGCTGTTTTAAATGTTAATCTTGAAGAAAATAACGACTAGCGAGATAATACATTGACTGGTTCCGAAAGTTCGTAAACAAAGCTTATTATTCAATTCTGAATTCTATTGAATATTGAAGCACTAAGTTCGAAACAATAAAAATTATGTAGATATAAATTAGTTCACATGCTGTGGTATACAATGCAAAAGTTTCGACAGTTGTTTTTCTTACATTCAATCAAATTGTTATGCATGTAGTTGGTTTAAACAACACAAACTAGTCATTCAATTATTAACCTGTAGGCAGAGATTTTGTTTTTCTCGGATTAATTACAACGTTTAGAAAATAACATATCAAACTGCATTTCCTAGACAAACATAATTGGATTGTAAGGTTCTTAGGTTTCATTGAAACGGTGAACCAATTAATATTAAAGCACCAATAGAAATTTGGAAGCATTAGTATGGGACTCATCAAAATTGAGCATTCAAAATCATGAAAGCACGAATATAAACCCATGGTGTTTATTCTCGTGATCAAACATCTAACCGCAAAGCCTTTCAGTCCTTCCAGGTTTCTGATGGTGATAAATCCATGACCTCAATGAAATTAATATAATAATGATATATATATAATGCTAATTTACATTGTGAGAATATGTCATATTTACTTAACAATCCAATGGATTAATAGGAAACAAAGTTAATTTAAGCTACTAAGATTCAACTAAATTTGAAATGTTAATGTCAAGCCATAACTTATGTATCTAGTATCATGTTCAGTGAACTTTGAAATAATCTCATTGAGACTTAGGCAGATAATACACTTTAATTTAATTAATATTGACTGTAATGTTAGTAAACTATATATATGTATATATATATATATATATTAAGTGATTTATTAGAACATTGAAATGCATTAATCAGAGACATAGTCTCACTCTCTGTTGTGTTGTTAATTTTAACAACTGTCTAGTCTTGTATGTATTTTAATATTATCTTCTCTTGTTTCTTATTTCTGCTAATAACTCTCGCTACACTATGAAAGTTGGTTATCCTTTTACATGGTGTGAAAAATTATAAAAATTGTTTGTTAAATAATCAGTGTATTATACTGTCTGTTGACACAGTAGGACTGTGAAAACCAGTTTCATCAAAATCATGAATATTAACCAGTGACAGATCAAGGATTTTCCTTTATTTCAATGTTCATCTAATAATCTTACGTTCAATAAAATGTACGGAGGAATTGAGTCAGTTAGCACGATGACCATATCGCAAACACTGTCAGCTGATTTCAATAACTTCAAGACCTAGATAACATGACATTAGCTATTATACAGTGTATTAGTGAAATTATGAATCAATCATTAATAGACCACTAGAAGAAACCTAGAGCAACGAGATGATCGTTTCGTCCTGGTATGGGAATCGTCAGCAGTGCGCATCTACAACTCCCGCCATTCTCAGGAATCGAAGCCAGAACCCAAGGTCTTGCGCGTGAACTTCAAACCTCTGAACCACTGAGCCAGCATCCAGATTGTCTTCGATGGTTACTGCTTACACCTGACCAAGTTGAACTTCACTGGTCACGTATTCATTTAATTTAAATTTAGTCAAACATTTTTAATCATTGGTAAAGTATTAATTTAACAAGCTAACAGCTACAAACTAATACTATAACTGGGCTACTAAGTTGCGGTGAAAGTTTAGGATTATTAGCGATTAAGGTTTCAGATATGTTTTGACGACTGGTGTATACTTGATATACGCTTTCATAATGTAACGAAATCAATGTCTAAATAATTGATTATGGACAGTGAAAACAGATAGATAGATAACTTTGAAATAAATTTATTATTTTCGGGCGTATTATAATTTCTCAAAAGATCAGGTCAAGCAAATATATTTCTTTAAGGGACAGTTAGGAAATGAATTGATGAATAAAACTCATCTATACAGCACACACCCAAAAACGTTTTAAAAAATTATACTTGATGAGGTATCCGAGAACTTAAAAACAATTTTGAAGGAATAGGATAAATCTTTACGATGTAAATGTGTACATTTTGTTTTATACTTAGGCTATTCTGTTACTTAGACAACTTTAGGCAACTAAATTCTTAAAATATGTTCAAAAATAAATATGACTCCGATTAACTAACTGACTCTGTTCATCAAAATACTCACTGATTGAGTCGGCTTGATAATCATAATCTGTGATACAGAACAGAAAATAAATGAGATACACCTCACAGACATTTTTCTAATATTACTATTCACACTGTTAACGATTTCTATGGGGAGTGGAGATTTCAGTGAAACACAAATCCTAATGCAACTGTGTTCAGAAAACTAAAATTTGAATCATTTTGATTTCCAAATGATTATTTAAAATATTTTCATATAAATTTGAATTGTGTCTTGCAGCGTAAGCTAGGTTAGTCGTTTTGTTGATTAGAGGAACTACTTTAGTGGATACTATTCACGAGGGTGACTATAAACAGTATGTAGGGGAGTCTTGCCTAAAAGTGTCCGGCGTCAAAATTTGAAGACACACGTTTCGGAAAGTCAAGAACACGGCATAATCATGAAATAAGATCAGAACAGGAGCGAGAGGAGACAGACTATCGCCCACTTGGATTTCTGAGCATGCAAATAGATTATTGAAGGTCTTGTGTGCATATTTTTTAAATAGTCCGAGCTTTCTCCATCCGGACTTGATATAATCATACATTAATTATATCAGTGTCTAAACACTGACCTTCACACTGTAACTCGAGCCCGTTACCACTCGTTTGTTAAGTACATATCTGTTTATCTAATAGGTAACTAGTATTTTTCAACATATTTTGCACTAGAATGAGAGTTACTATGATTCCATTGTGTTTCATAGATTCTCGAAAGTTGATAGTTTAATTAAATGAGCATATTTTTGAATTTAAAAGTAACACAGTTTAGCATGATCGTATTCATTAAATGTGACTTATTATGAATTACAAAGGCTCCTAATGAGGTTTTCTGCATAGGATAGTTACAATATTTTATTAAGTACATAAAAGAGGAATAAATAATCGTAATATTCAGGTAATAACTTAGTATCATTATG